TATCCACCACAGCGCGCGTAACGGGTACACTCTTCGTCATGGAACCCATTCCAATTTTCAAATATCGAGACCGTCGATGTTGGGCCGGAGCCCGGCGACTACCACTCGGTACGCAAGCCCAGCCTGCCCGGGGCTCTCCCCAGCCTCCTCCCCCAACCACACGAGGCCGACATCTTCCGGTGACCCGCCGTGTGATCCTGCAGCTTCCCGTGGTCAGCTCACTCTTCACAACTTTGTGTTCCTGCGGCTATGGTCTATCCTGGTTGGTTGGGCAGCATGTCTCTGGATGTTCCAGCTGTCAATCCGCAAATGGCCGTTCAGTCGGAATCGGCGCACAGCTTGCCCAGAATGTCTTTAGAGGGGTCCATTGACAAATCATTGGGATAGCTTGAGAATGGTCGACGGCCCAGTATTGACGATTGCCAGGTAATGAAACGTGCGAACACGGTACAGCGCAGATATCCGTGGGATGGGCAAATTTTCCCAGAGCCATTTTTGTCCAATGCATCTGTTCTCCGTCTCGAATTGGACTTGTATACGCCCTGCTCGAGATCATGTTGAACTGGAACATATCCGAATGCTTCGGGGGTCTGATTTTCCCGTTGTTGTACTACCTGGTGACTTGGTCTGCCCACGCATCTCGATAGATTCCTTTAGTTGTTTCACTGCAGCCAAGGCACATTGTAATGCATTTCAGATTGTAATCGATGATTAAAAAAGCAGCAGGAATACCAAATTCGATCAACGGACTTTAGTACGCCCGTGATATGGAGCTTCCTTTGCCCGTGAGCACTGCCGTAGCTTGTGGTCATTGCGGGCATAGCCGCCGTCGCGGCCTGTCAACTACCCCACGATCTCCGACACCCCGGTCTAAAACGGGGCCAGCTCCGAACCCCACCATCGGAATGCCACTGTCGATCGCCGGCCCCGCATCCGAAGACGTTGATGTGAGATCTTGGCGGAGAACAGCCCAGCACATAGCGTCGTCTGGGGAAACTGTATTTGAAGGGAAAGAGAATATCTATGAGGAGTAGATTGCATTTGCAAACTGACAAGGGCAACATACACAGTCGAATCTAAAGCCTTGAATATTCCTCAACTCTCCCTTAACTATTTCCCAAGAAGTCCTACAGCATGGACTACCAAGGCAAAATTATAATCGTCACAGGGGCCGCCCATGGACTTGGCCGAGCCGTCGCTGTAGAATTCGCCACAGCCGGCGCCAAAGTCGTCCTGGCAGATATCCAACAAGAGCCTCAGCTAGCCACAGTCGAAGCGCTGAGGCAAGCTGGACGCAAAGCTTGGGCCTTTCAATGCGATGTAGGAAGCGATGAGAGCGTCGCAACCTTTGCAACTGCTGTTCACAAAGACATTGGTATTCCCGACATCATTTACAACAACGCTGTCTTGATCCGATCCGGGGGCATCATTGATCTCGATATGGCCAGCCTCCAGCAACAGGTCAACGTCAACGTCTTCGGATACATCCGCATGGTTCAAGCCTTCCTCCCGGGCATGACTGCTCGTGGAAGTGGATGGATCGTCAATACCGCCTCGCCCAATGGTAATGTGCCCATACCACCCGTGGCAAACAACCTCTTTTCCTACTGCTTGTGCAAGGCAGCCGATATTTCAATGAGTCAATGCATGGCCGTTTCTCTGAAGCCATTGGGTATTGGTGTGAGTGTTGTATTCCCGGATATCACATACACGGAGACAGTAGACTCTTTGTCTGGTACCTCCTCTGATGAATTCCATCAAACCTTCACGTCGTTCTTGAAACAACAAGGGAAGAATGTCGACGTCGTCGGCAAGAAAATTGTGGAAACGCTCCGGGCCGGTGAATTCTTTGTCAATGTCTGTCCGGGATACGAGGAGGCATTGCTCGAGCTAGCGAAGGGCAAAATGGATCCAACGCTGGATTTCTTTGCTGTGGTAAATGGGAGGTCGAAAACCGGATGACCATCCATAGATGCCTTGTCGTCCAGGGAATTTTAATTTCGAGGGCGTTTTCAAGAGAAGTAATGTCCCTGTTTTTGTCGCCCATCCTCTATGTGTCATGACTCAAATTAAGTTGTCTGTTTCAATCATTCCAACATAGTACCTCAGGAATTGTCAACACAGTTCGTGGTTTGGTAATATTGCGGCGGCCATCTAGCATGTAATCAATTCTTAACATCGACCAAAATATCTGCCACCCACTCGAGATGTTGGACAACATGCCAATGAAACAGTCTATTTATCTGTGTGATTCAAAACTAATGGAATGCTAAGCTAAGTTTCGAGATTCAATCAAAGATGAGCGCTTGACTTCGAAACGAAAGTCTTGTCAAAGTCCAAGCCGAGATCCTCCATAACCCTCTTGGCAACCGGGCGGCCTCCGCCCCAAACACCACCACCGGGATGCATGAATGGCCCAGCGAGATACAGTCCCTTCACACCTGGCACTCTATAATGAGCCAAAGCAGGGGTCGGGCGGCTCAATCCCATCTGGTCAGCAGCCATGGAGAGTCCGCAGATATCACCCCGCTGGAAGCTTGGGCTGTCAGACTGATGGTCCGGAGGAGCGACCGCGTGGTAAGAGCGGACGATGTCTGGTGTGAAGTTATCGAGGTACTTGGAGAAGTATGCGAACACTTTCTGCACCCAGTCGTCGCGACGGCGATCCCAGCCTTCCCAGCCGCCGTCTGCGGGCTCGGCCTTGCACATGACCACGCAGTGAAGCAACGACTTCCCAGGTGGGCATCGCGTGGGGTCGGCTGAGCTCACACAGGAAGCACCAATCATTATCTTCTCTGGGAGAAGGCCGAGAGCCATGTCGTCGTAGCTCTTGAGCAAGTCCTTGAGAGTGCCCGGGCAGCAGGTGTTCATGACGCTTCTGTCGGCGAGGGGGCCGGCTTTGAACTTCAGCGGACGTTCAAGAGCTGCGTGGATGACGAATAGGGTGAATTCAGAGACACGTGTCTTCAAGGCGGACGCCGTGACAGACTCTTCCAAGCCGTCGACAAGTTGATCCAGTTTGTGGGGATGAATCTGGCCGATGACAGCTTCTCTCGCCCGCAACTCTCCAAAGCGGGTTCTGACCCCGACTGCACGCCCGTTCTCGGTGACGACTTTAATGACTTCGGTATCCAACTTGATGTCTCCTCCATGATCCTTGATGCATCGAATGACCGACTCGGTAAAAGCCGTTCCAGAACCCTCAGGTACGGCAAGTCCGTATCTGTCGACAAGGCCAAATGCAAGGTACACCATGAGACCAGTACCCTTGGTCGTGGGGTGAGCCAGCTGAATCTCGGTTACAAAGCGCAAGAGAGCCACTTGGAGAATCTCGTTCTTAAAGTACCGCTGAATGATGTCCAAGGACGAGCTAGCCCCGACAGTGGCAATCTCCTCCGCAAAGCCACTGCTAGCAATTTCTGCTGACGTGTCGCGAGGCGGCTCGAACATGGATGGCATCAGCAGATCAGTGATCTTTCGGGATGTGTCGACGAATTTCTCGTATGCGTCCGCGTCCTCGGGAGCGGCCTCTCGAATGGCTTCAACGGTGCGGTGGCGCTCGCGGTAGATGGGAAGGACTCTGTCCTCCATGACGATGGCGTAGCAGGGATCGAGTTGAAGGTAGTTGAGGCCATACTTAGCCTGGAGGCCAAGTTCGTCGTTGGCGATAAGAGGGTTGGCAAGAATCATCTGGTGGATGGCGCTGTGACGTTCGCTGATGAAGCCTTCCTCTGCCATTTGGAGGCCAGCTACACCGCCACCGGCGTAGGATGCTCGCTCGAGCACGAGGACCTTCTTTCCGGCAGCTGCTAGGTATGCAGCAGTGGTAAGGCCATTGTGCCCAGAGCCGACAACAATGATGTCCCAGTCCTTGGACTCGGGCTCAAGCGTAAGCCTTCCTAGCTTTGAGAAATCGGCAGTCATTTTGAAGTGATGGCAAACCTGAAGAGGGGGGATGACCTGGAAAGTTGAAGTTCGCTGAAGTGCTGATAACAGAGAAAGACGAATATGAGATTGAGGAAGGCACTTGAACGACAAAGGCTTACAAGATGACACTTATATGAGTACAATGCCTTCTTGGGCTTTACTGTTGGAGACTTTCGGTGAACTTCATGGACGTCTGCTTTCCGCACTTCTAGAGCCCGATTCTCCGGCACCTACACATCACAACTGATCTCTATGAAAGCTCCACTATCCCCCGCAGTTGATGTAACCAATGGAGGTCAACGTGTTCAGCAGGTCCGACTCGTAAATGCATACTGTCAGAGGCACTTTCAACATCGGCATCGGGCATTAAGCTTAGACCGGGCTGGTCTTACCGCGTTGCATTGCAGGCTCCTTTAGGAACCCCACAACTCCGACGCGAACCTTGTCCCGAGAGTGGGGTTCTGTCATTGAAGATCCCCCGCACGTTCCGAAGCTGTCTCCTTTTTAACTCTGACTTACCCATATTACCCCACAACCTCCGACGGCCATCCTCCCTCTCCGATTCACATCCTTTGGACATGATAACGATTGCTGCCGACACCAACGGTTTTGGTGCGTCTTTAGTTCATCCAAGGCCAAATCCCACAATTCCGACTGTGGGGATGAGCGAGGATGTTGGTCAAGTGCGATGTCTGCAACGCCGAGTTCCGTCGGTCAGAACACCTGAACCGTCACCTTCTCCGACACCTCGGAGTTCGCCCATTCTCTTGTTCTGTCTGCGGGGCGAGCTTTTCGAGAAGGTTGGTCTCGCTCTCCTACGTTGAGGCGTTTTGCGTGGAAGCCTGATGCTCGTCTCACCCTTTCCTGCTGCCTCTGTCCCCAACTCAACTTACTCAGGGGTTCAAGGCTGATGATGCTCTTCTCTCAGAGACTCTCTCCAACGCCATGCACAGAGTCATGTGGATTCCCCCTCGTCAAGGTCCGACAGTGTTGCTCCTGGAAGATCCCGAAGGACATGTGTGTCCAGAGCTTGTCGTGATTGTGCGCGATCAAAACAAAGATGCGACGGGCTGATGCCATGTGAGAGGTGTCAGAACAAGGGCCGCGCCTGCGTATACGCAGGTGAAAGCCGACGAAGTGCTAGCTTCTCGAGTGGAACAACAGTCCAAGGCACCGATCTACCGCATGATAACGATGATTTGACAACCTTCGGGCAATCTTCCGTTCCGCCATGCAATCAAATCGAGACTCATGAGGTCAGTATCGTGACGCTTAAAGTATTGCATGGAGTGACACTCATCCATCGTCACAGGCACCATCTCTTCCAGCACCAGACATCGGAACTATTAGCCAGCCAGTGCCATCGATCAATACGCAGCTACGCCCTGATTGGCCAGAGGCCATGGCACTCGATAGGTTGGACATTCCAACGTGGTCACCCACAAGATGGTGTTTCCCATTCTCAGACGCCCACGCTTGGATAGGAGTTGAGCCATGGCAGAGCATGGCGGCTGACCATGTTCTGCTGGATGATTTCGTCTGTCCTAGTCTATCATATTCAACAGGCGACGGCACCGAGCTTCCCTCAATACCGGAAGTATCTACCACTACTTCGGAACAATCGCCCGCCGCCGACGTACAGACTGCACGTGAGGAAGAAGGTACCAGTCAAACGCCTTCCGAGCCAACGCCAATCCGGGAAGCCCAAAGACCCAATTACACCAACCACACCGAGCTGTCTGCCACATTTGCGGAAGTTCTTGGTAGTCCGTCTGCTTTAGCACGGGACTATTCCAATCCAAACAGCAGCACACACGGCCAACAGCCCAAAACAAATGACTTCGTAACAGCCGGATTAGCCAATCTTTCTCGAATAGCAGGTCTGTCCGCGAACAAAGCCAGTAGACCTGAAGAGGATTGGCACCTCGAAGATTACGACTATGTTCCCACACTGCCTGAAAGAGTCTACGAAACAATTAAGCGCAATTTTGAGATGCTCAACACGGATAGTGGACTTTGCAGGAAGTTCACGGACAAGCAGCTACCCCCGATAACAACCATGAATGCATTCATCCAGTCGTACTTCGAACACTACAGCCATATCTTTCCAATGATTCACCAGCCCACCTTCGATACCGCGAATGTTCATTGGGTTCTCATTCTTGCAGTTGCCGCCATAGGGTGCGGTTTCTCGCAACTAGGAAACACCTGTACAACATTTATCTTGCAAGAATTTCTCCGCCGGTCGGTCAGCCTATGTGTAAGTCGCGTTTCGCTTTTGTTTTCTTTTTCCCTTTTGGTTTTTTTTTTTTTCTTTTTGCGTTACCGGGTCTATGTCTATCAAGGACTCTATATTGATAGGTCAATCCGTTCAGATTGAGCTTGAAACAAACCCGACCCCAGATTTGGAGCTTCATGTTGCTCAATCTGCATTACTCAGTCAAGTCGGCTTGATGTTCTCTGGCAACATGTCTTTTGCGGAGCATGCGCAAAGGAACATGTCTCTCGTACCGACCCTTTGCAAGAAAGCCAATTATTTCGTCGAACATCATCCAAATAACGTTACATCTGGGGGTGGGGGGAGCTGGAAATGGTGGGTTCAAGCAGAGAGCAGAAAGCGCCTTGTTCATCTGGCATGGGTAAGCACATTAGCCAATCTTTTCATAAAGCACCGGGGCTTACCGAACTCACCGATTGGATCAGGTTTTGGATTGTCAACTTGTCTCCTTCTTCGATCTCGCCCAAACAATACTGTTAGACATGTTGCAGCTATCCATGCCGTCACATGATGAGCTATGGGCAGCCACCACGACTGATCAGTGGTCTATACTCTACTCAGAATATGGTAAGGGCGCGTCTAAAAGCAGCCTATACATTCGCATTCTTATTGCTAATTTATACACGGACAGCATCCAAGAAATCCAAGTCACTTCGACATGAACTGGATATTCTTTATCAACAGAAAGAAACACCGGTAGGAATCACGAATCTCAACCTATTACTTCTCACCCTCGGTATATACCGCGATGCACCCAACCAACAAGCCGCAATTCAACGTCTCGATATTCTTCGGTCGGCTGAAGGCATCGGGTCACCTACTGATACCTTCAAATCACTTATAAACCAACACTACCATGCTCTCAGCCTCTTATCGCATTTTCCCCTGAGGCAGCTCAATTCATTCTCTGGGTGGCGAATAAGCCCGACCATAAGGCAAACAGTGGACCGCAAGCTATCTATCTGGTTAGAAGAGAATGAGGCTAAAGCCAGAATTGTCGTGTATCATGCCGCCAAGCTACTCAGCTGGCTCCGAGATCATCCGACCAACAGCCATCATGAGCCCATGGCTCTTCTAACCGGAACACTTGCGCTGTGGATGTTCACAGCTCTAGGCAAGCATAACAAGGCCGACTCGTCGTCCCGATCTCTACTGCAGTCTAGCCCCGCATCAGATGGGACTCCGAAGCTTGTTACTCTCAGACTCGACAAAGAGATTGAAGAGGAGACGCTCGTGAAATGGACCTCAGGAGATCGAGGTATGAGGCCCTATATGGGGGGTGTTGGATCCTTGATCGAGCAAGGTGCCTCGAGGCGACTGGTCCAAGAAAGCCAACGAATTTTTTCATTGCAGACAGGGTGGTCTTTGAGCATTGCTATAGGTATGGTGGTACGGGCACAGTACAAGAACAACAGACGGGGAAAATAGGCGGCATTTTGAAGACGCGATGTAAATTCCACCGACTACACGAGATGCTAAGCTGAATGTGTCCCCTCGAAAAAGCCATACAAAGCGCCACCCTTTAATCACTTTCACCTTTCTCAACCACGCGGTTTTCCTTTCCAACGATTCCGAACGACTTCTCCGCCGCCAAAGAGATAGGAAGGTTGGAAAACAGCGTGCTGTGTTTGCTTTCGTCATTGATAAAGGCGACGGCCGCTTCGCGGGTTGGAAACCAATACTGCTCCATCAGCTCAGTAGATGACCAATCTGTTTCGGCAAAGGGGGTGCCTTTGAAGAACGTAACAAGATCGGAAGGCGTAACGGGTCGGTTAGCCACGTATTGCAACAAGTCACTTCCAGTCCCAATCTTCTTGATCTTTGCAATACGGCTTGCCAGGCCTTCTTCACTCAGTGCTTGAGCGCCATTCCTAGCGAGGAAGACTTGCAAGATTGTAGCCGTGCTTCCTCGCTTCTCAAAACCAGTCAGATCGAACGGGATCTCTTCGACAGCTTTGCTGAGAACTCCAACTTGGGATGCCTCATCGGCAAATTTGTGACTGCCTGCAGATGCCTTGTACTCTGGGGCTTGGAAAGACTGGTACAGGTCATCGAGAGATGTCCATTCCAGTGTGGAAGCCATGTCCCAAGGAGGGTGGCCGCCATTGGGCAGCTTGTCGATGGGCTCGTGCGGAATGGCGATGACCTGAGTGTACTTCCGAAGGATGGGGACTGCGGCCGCGATTTGGGTCGTCATCGCTGCGTGTACGCCCACGTACTCTTGCAAAAACTTGGAATCTTCCCATCCTGGGATCTTGCGGCCGGCAATGGTCATTTTAATCAAGCCGTTTGGCTTGCTGGGTGAGCTGAGGTTTGTCATTTTCGATGTTTGGTGTTAGGTTGTTCTGATTTGGGTGATATGTTCAGTGTCGACGAATAGGCTTGCAAGGTAGTGATGATAAGACAATTGCTTGACTTCGAAGGTAAAGTAAACTTATAGTGCCAGTTCTTCTATCAAGGTAAGACGCCATGCACGGTCGATCTTCCGCAACTTGCCCACTCCCCCACGAGCGGCAGCCGGAAGCCCCGGGACGGGACGGGATCCGTGGGGTATGGGGTATGATGCGGGGCGTGGGGCCGATGCTGTTTTAGCTTCGGCACTGCACTCCGGCATGTGTGCTTGTAATTACTTAAGCGGCCAGTGATCTTGGAACCTGAAGCTGGATTCTGCTACATAACTAAGAAAGCTCGTCATTGGTCAATTGTCGCAACTCTTCCTCCGCCTTGTTGACCTCGTCCCAGCTGTAGTACCCATCCGACTTCTCCCGCGGGACCCCCTCAGCCAGTTCGTGCCAGAAATGAACCCTGTCCGGAAACCAATACTTCGCCATCTTGCAGACCTCCAGAATGTAAGGCTCAGCTGGAGCTGTGAGGCACCCGCTCACCTTGGAGCTGAAACGAAGGAAATAGTTGCATCGATCTGCGTCAACTGGCATGCGGGGTATTTCGCCGACGAGGAAGCTCAAGTTGTAATTGGTACCAAAGTGGGAACCAGACTCCGTCGCTATGTCCAGGACACTCCCTTCTGGGTGGCTACTGTCGTCGTCGTAGACGTTTTCGTATTTGAGAATGATACTGCGTATGAGAAATCCGTACCTCTCGATATTGCTATCAGTGGCTTCTAATCGAGGATAGATATCAAATCCGCAGCCGAAGCCCATTGCTACTGACGTCGCCTCACGTTTGGCGACTTACTGGAAGATGTAAATGATTTTGATTACAATGATGAAACAGTCCGTGGAGGTCTGGGTACTTATCATTTCGAGCCCTGCATGTGACTATCAAATTACCTCGCCTGATGACGGCATTATTTGTTGTTAATTAGTGGTTACGCAGTACGTTTTGGTGCTATAGTTCAAGTCTAAGCATGGAAAATAGGTTCGATTGGTCCAGGTTAAACCGTTAAATTGACAGCTATGTTGTCTAACGACTTATTTGCTGGTTCATATGTGAATATTCAAAGCATGAGGCACATTTTGAGTTCCTTCCTCACTGATGGGCCTCCTGCATGGGAGTCACTTCTACCGCTAGATAACGTCGCACTTCGTATCTGGCTGGCTGAACACCGCAGCAACGCTCATTCTAGTCACCACATGGCACTCAGCCCCAGATACTTTCTCCGTCTTTTTTCCAGAACATACGTCCACTTTTCCCTCCATCCAGCCTAATCATTTGACCGTTTGTGGACGCTGACCATCTGTGACTTGCGAGAATCAGACACTGTCTGGCAACGTCTTCGGCATCTACGGGCCTCTTCGAAGCCACCGTTGCCTCCGACTCAATCCACTTAGTAGACCCTGTCTTGTCGTCCGCACATTCGCTGCGAAACATAGGCGTGTCAACAGCGCCCGGGCAAATCGCATTCACTCTCGCTTTGGGGTTGATTCTCACGGCGTCGGGAGCTAGAGATAACATAAGGCCATATTGAACGGCTGACTTGCTGGCGGCGTAGTCCGGATTGCCTGGCACGCCCATGATACCGGCCTCCGAACCGATAATTATGAGCGAGAAGTTCTTCTCGCTGTCCGAGTTGAAGAGGCTCAAGCCATCTATTCGTGAAATATGGCTAAGCCAGGTTTTTGCAGAAATAAACGTGCCAGTCACGTTCTACGAATCAATTGTCAGCCATCTGCCGCAATGCTGAACAGCCCTGGTGAACTTACGACATCAAGGGTCTTCCTGAACTGTTCAGCAGACATCTGCGTGATGGATGCGTGATGTTTGACGAAACTCAGGTCAAGAGCGGCGGCACAGACACACACCGCGGGCCAAGCCCCAAATCGTGAACAGACTGATGCCCAGGCGTCAAAAACTGACTTCTCTTCTGTTGTATCGCACTGAAGCCACAAGAGATTCTTGTGCTCCCTTTCAAACTTCCGATGATCGATGTCGAGCGCGCCGACGAAGCAGCCAGCGCTCAAGAACGCTTCAACGATGACTTGGCCGATTTGACCGGCTGCCCCGGTCACCACAACGATGGTCCCTTCAAGGCCGAGTCCAAGATCCATTGCGAAGGATTGGGTTAGCTAGATTCACTCAGGTCTGATATGTTGTCAATTGAGAAATAGACAAGAAGGTAAAAGCGAGCTGTGGAGGCCGTAGAGAGACTATCAAGATAAGGTCCAGCCTGCAGGATGCGGGGATGTCACGTGTTGAGGACATGATCGACAGGCAGAAAGAGTGTGAAGACAGTGCCATCATGAGAAATTACTTGAGAACAAGATTGAATAAGGACTTGTGCTCTGGTACGAAAATTAGTTATACACATAAACACTATGGGTTGACGGCAAACACCATGTACAAGGCTCACCAGCCTCCCACTATTGATCTGCGACCGGCAAAAGAATACACAAAATTCTCATGCGACGGTCTATAAAACGTAGCAGTGGTCTACTTCGTAATTCACAATATCAATACACATGACAACGGTGCCAGACCGTGTCATTCTATCCTAGTATCTATGATAATATGCATGAAACAACAGCAACCCCCCATCATGCATCTCCGACCAGCAGATCCTCTATTCCCTGGATGTTATCACCCGGGATGTGTGTTCAGATGCTACTCGGCCATGCAAACGATCTCGCGCTCACCCATGCTCATGAGATCTCCCTATGCTTTTTTTTAATGTCGATCACTTACCAAAGGAACCGGCTCGATGGAAGCGGCTGATGCAACCGAGGGACAGACGACGTCGGCAAAAGTCTAACGGGACGGCAACAGAAAGGGAGTACGAGAGTAAATCGGTCGTTTCGTTAATCATTAAATGGTCAAGACGATTGTACGAATCTAATCTGACCATTGTCCGCGATCGGACTGTTCATTAAAAAACCCGCCTTAGCATTACTGTTCCCAAACCAATGAAAGATAGAAAGTGTGTGTGCATATGTCGGAATCGGATCAACTGTGCATGGTTCTGTTCCTTACATGGTGCCGTTGACGGCGCCCTTGCGGGCGTTGGCGGCGTCGAAGAGGCCTTGGATATCCACCTGCCACTGCGCGAGGTCGGGGCGGAGGACGCGACGGTCGTAGGTGACCAGGCCGTTGACTTCACCCTCGACGTCGCTGGTCTGGGTCCAGACGCCGCCGCTGCAGGCGAACATCTCGACTTGCTCGCGGAACTCTCGGAAGAGGACGCGCGCGCGGTAGTTGTATGCCTCGAGACTCTCGTTGATCTCGTACGTGCCGTTGATGGTGTCGATCGCCTGTTGGACGTTCCAGAGACTGCACGCATTGTTAGCTTGAAATCCTTGGGCTTGTTCAAGAGGAGGACATACTGCTCAATGGAAACGTTGTGACCGATTCCACCGAACTCTCCCTGGAAACCGATGCGCGACTTATCGTATGGGGACGAAGCCAACGAGTAGAAAGGAGTTCCGCATTGAGGGTTGGCGTAGTGGTGGTTGTCCGAGAAGTCACCGAAGCCATGGTCATACCAACCGCTGTTGGCGTTGATCAGTCTGGTGGGGTCAATGTCACGAACGATTTCGGTAAGCTTGTCCTCGGGGTGAGGAGCGTTCCTAAGCTGGCCCCAGCCCTCATTGTAGATGGTCTGCGGTAACATGTTAGTGAGGGGAAGGTTTAGATGAAGCGACCGGACGCACCCAGGTGACAATGCTGGTGTAGCTCTTGTGCTCCTCAATCATGAGCTGCAGCTGGCGCTCAAACTCGGCTTGCTGCTCAGCGTTGGGCAGACGCGCAGAGTTGGCAGTCAAGCTCGGCATGTCCTGGATGACGAGCAAGCCGATCTCGTCGCAGGCGCGGTAGAACAGATCCGGCTCAATCTTGATCTACAGATTGTTAGCATTGGTCACCGAGGTCACTGAGTTTTGACAGGGCTCAACTCACATGCTTGCGAACCATGTTCATGCCGAGGTTCTTCAACACCTTCAGGTCATAGACCATGGCCTCGTAGGTAGGGGGCGTGTGGAGTCCATCAGGCCAGTATCCCTGGTCGAGGGTACCGAACATGAAGATGAACTCGCCGTTCAAAAGGGGTCGCTTGATGCCCTCAACGATACCAGTTGAAATGGTGCGGAATCCAGTGTAGCTGTGGACCACATCGCTCTCGCCCAGCCTGACAGTCAGGTTGTACAAGTTGGGAGTCGATGGCGACCAGACCTTTGGCTGAGACACTTGGAAAGTGAACTCCTCGTCGGAACCTCCTGTTCCCTCTCCAATGGTGTTTCCATCCTTGTCCAGAACGGCAATCTTAACCTCAGAAGATGAGCTGGAAGAGCTGTGAACAGTAACAGTCACTGCGCGGGTGGTCAGCGATGTCGCATTTTGACTTGTGCTTTGGGTGTTACTCACCATTGCCATTGTGGTCGGCAGCGAGATCCAGTTTCGTGATGTGATTGACAGGCGCGCTCTCCAACCAGACAGTTTGCCAAATGCCGGAGCAGGCTCGGTAAAAGATATGCGATGGGGTTCTGGTCTGCTTGCCAATCGGAATAACGTAGCCATCCATGTCCGTCGGGTCATGGACAAACACCAACCTTCACGCCGCGTGTTAGCAATCAATTGGACCACGCAAAGAAGTCATTTGCACTCACAAGGTGTTTTCTTCGCCTTGGTTGATGTACTGCGTCGCATCAACCGTGTAGCGGAAGTATCCTCCACGGTGGAAGCCAGCCCTCTGGCCATTGATGAACACGGTCGCCTCGTAGTCAACGGCCTCAAAGTTGAGCAGGACAGACTGGTTGCCCCAGTTGTTGGGAACATTGAACTTTGTCGCAAACCACATGTGCGTGACGTCGAGCTCCTGGATACCGGAGATGGCGCTCTCAATGCACGACGGGATCAACACCTCCCGGTCGAGAGTGCTGCCCGACGGCGGGTGGTTGACATCGGCGGCTCCGGCCGCGGCCTGGTAGGTCCAGATTCCGTTCAGGTTGAGCCACTTGTCGCGGCGAAGCTGCGGGCGCGGGTGATCCGGCCACGGGCTCGTTCCGACCTGGCTCGTCCAGTCCGTGTCTAGGGGTGGCGTCTGCAGCTTGTAGGGCTCCGCGGGCGTGTCAGACTGGGCGTTGGTGGTGACTGAGAGGGTCAGCGCCGCCAACGCGGACGAGAGGATTGTCCGTGAGAGATGCATGTTGGCACGACCGAAGGATGAGGTCGCAGGTTGCTGCAGGTCTCGGTCCCAAAAAGCCGTTCGACGAGGAGGAAGAGCACAGCTGGAGGAAGAAAGGTAAAAAAGAACGAAAGCAAGATGCAGCAGCAGCGGTGAACAAGAGGGGTCCCAGCGTAAAGGGGGAAGCTCCTTCTATACCTGCGCGGAGAAATCCTAATATTTTTAACTTTTTCCCAATGTCGGGACGAGCGTTGACGTTCAACTGACTTATATTTGTTCCGGGGGAAGCCCGTTTTACAAAGGTGCGGCAGGTCGCATAGCCTCTGCACATCAAATTCCCCACACTCGACTTGGCCGGACATCTCGGCATTGAGTCAAGCTGGATTGGCGTCTGACTGTGAGAAACGAGGCAAACGTTTCCAAAGTTCCGTTCCTCCTCGTCTTTCGTCCTTCCTCTGTCCTCTGCCGGGGTCTCGTTGACTGTAGTGTAGTGACGTGCCATGTAATGTTGCGTGCTCGACCGCCAGCCGATGCTGCAGGCTGCGGGTTCCCCGCACAAGAGAAAATTGGCGGTCGCAATTGTTCACTTTCCCATGTCTTGGCCGCGGCCTTGGCCGTGGAGAAGGGAGGGGGAGGATGAGGAGGGGAAAAGGCGGCCTGCCTTAGTGCTACGACGCCGTGTTGGTCGCGCAGATTGGTGGATTGCATGTGAGTAACGGACATCTAAATAAGCACCAAGCACTCTTCCGCTTCATCGTGCGATATCACTCGTTGCAACCAAGCAGCACGTGGAGTCGTTCGATGGACGCACAAGGGAGCTGCATGATGCGGTCATCTGGGAGAGAGGGGGTTGTGAATGGCAGGCCACCCGACCCAGGCCGATCTGTCTGTTCTACGAGAAGAAGTCCGTAAGCTTGGGATAGTCAGGCTGACATCTGGCTGCGACCTTGACGGAAAGGGGAATTGAGAGGCGGCAAGTGTTGACCGTCTTGGGTTCGCGGCTTCGTGCTGGGGCGGTCCCTTTTCCCATAACCTAAAAGGTTCCCGGCCAATATTAACAGGGCGCAGCCACAGACAGAAATATCTGGGCCTTAATTATGATGCGCTGTTGGGATGAAGGAATGATCGACAGGTCCTTTGGCTAGGGGAAACCGTAACGCTACACGCGCCCGGTTTTTTGACAACGCCAACTGTCACCGCCGGATTGAAAAAGCAACATCGACTGTCAAGGTTCAAAGAATCCTTCCCCCATTCTTCCTCGCCTCCATTTCGCTTCCATGTAGGTCATCGGGCATCTCCACTGAGAACGGCAGTACTCCAGCCAAGAGTCATGTCCCTCCTGGCCGTTCATGATGCGGGGAAGCGGCAGATTCACCGAGCCTATCCGACTGGCTCTTGTGTCTTTTCTCGTCGCGGGAGGGGCTGAACCTTGTTTTAATCCCCCGACCGTGCATGCGGGGATAGCTGCTCTAGATCGACGGGAATGCCTTATTTCCTTTTACCGGCAGGGCCAGAATGGCTTGGGCCTTTGCAACGGCCATTCACCTGATCATGAATCCTCCTAAGCGATCCAATAATTACATCCAGAGAAAAACGATCATCGCGATCCGGTGTACTTGTGGACTTCACGTGGATGTATGTCTCTTGGGATGTCTTGCCTGTATGTCTCGCTTTTCTTTCGTTCCTGGAATCGCCGACATGATTCCTGGCGGGAAGGGCGATGAAAGGACCGAGGTGCATGACTCTGGCAAACCTTCACAAATGAAATGCCTGCACTGGACAAGGTCATGGGCATGTTCAATCTCTCTCGCTGCAACCTCAGATCCCCGCTCCATGCTGCCCCGAACCAGTTTGCTTGACATGTCATTATTGTCATTTTATAACTGCGGTGCAGGCGTAGTACGGACGAACGCGCGAGGTCGCAATTAAGTCCTTCTATTGATGGCACTTTGAAATCGAAGTCAATTGTAGAAATAAACAGTTTGCACCAAATGATCAGTCAACGTCATGTCACATTGCGACATCCATCACGAAAAAGGCTGCCAAGCCAAACGACTCTCATACTTCGACTTGACCTATTTGTATCAGTGCGCGTGGATCTTTCAGCGACCGCCGCCACCATCGTCAAAATTCTCCCGAAAACCTAGCTACCGAAGCCTTCGCATCTGTCAAGATCTTCGAGCACCTACCAGCCCGTTTCCTCTCATTCAGGCAGGGCGAAGCGTAGCGCGGAACAAGTGGGATACTGCGGACCAAACACTGCAAGGGCCGCTACTTGGACGCAACTTCGTCTGTTGATGTAAGTTCGCGTCAGACTTGGGGCTGCAAACAAACTCTTGTTGCCTCCTGTTTGACTCGTTTCTCAGGAGGAACTTGGTTCGGCCAATGACGGGGCTCAATTACCTGTTGCTCGCTGAGTCTTCCTTCGAATATTCTTCCTCGGCGTTAGTTCGTCTGAAGATCGCCTCGAAACGGCTGTGTGAGGTGCATAAGTCTGTTCTAGCTGAAAGTTTCGGGTGCCTGCGACCGGAAACAATTGGCTGAGGACATGATTCGAGATGGAGGGCGGTCTGAAGACTGCATAGGGGTCACCTTGCGTGCTGGTGAAACGGGAACTCTGCTGAAATTCCACGTGAGACGAGGTTGCTGTCCTCCGCAGTCTAGCTGCAGCGGCAGTGGCTAACGGACATCTCTGAACCTGACCCTCTGCGCTTTCACGGCCCGATAGAGGTGTGGAACCAAGTCGCTGATCCGATCTCTCTTGCGGCTGAGCGCGAAAACAGGGCTCGCAGTAACCTAATTAGCCCATTGGTTTCGATCCCCCAGCCTGCATTGTTAGAGGTAACAAGGACGTGGCCGCGGAGATGACATCTCGGAAGATTTTACATGACAGCGAGGCTCTTCTCCGTCGATGATGACATTTTGTTTGTCAGGGATGGCTAGACATCATCGCAACTCCTGCAGTGAAGTTCAACGGGATTTGTTCCGTGAGAGTCAGAGAGATTCAGCGACTTCGGAGTGAGTTCATGCCTACAGATACGCGACATCTTGGCCGTTTGAAAGACCCAATTGGAAATCAGAATTTTTCGAGAATACCCGCGGCTATTTCAACAAAAACAGACTTTCCTTGAGTCGGTGTCTTCAGAGGTTCACAGTTACTGTTGCGGCGACAGTGAGAAGATTCGCTGTCTCCCCAAACCCTAAAACGTTTTCAAGATGTTCGGTCAACTGCCGGTCGCACCAAGGCTCAGCGGACTTGTCCAGTTGTCTATGACTTGACGTCACTAGAAGATTAATAATTGCTGAGCAAAAGAGCTTTTGAGTTTGTCTTCAACACCTAAGTGACTGAATAGCAATGATGTGTCTTTCAAGGTTGAAGGTGCAGCATATTGATGGGACATCTGTGACGAGCGAAACCATAAACCGCCCACCAGCGTGATACTCAGACGAACTCTTGGTCATAATATTGCTTTTCGGCTATATTCATCTCTTTCATCAACTATCCCGATCATGCTTGATCTCAATTTCTCGTTGTTGTATGCTGCACGACCACGCTCTCTAATTGGACAGGAAGATCTTATCAATCAGGAAGCCCACACTGGAGGAGGGGCATCCGGAGATTGCGGCTGGAATCGATCACTACAGAACCCACTCCGGACCGGGGCAAAAATAGAGTTGTCCCATTCGGAGCGGAGTTGACTGCCCATTCTGGCAGCTCTGAGCCCCGAATTGCCCACCGGGCCAACATTACTTGGATGGCAATGTCGTAGTCTCATGCACCGCAACTGCGCAGATTCGGAGGATGCAACCAGCCAAGCTCTCAATACGAGGTCGGCTTCCGCAGGATGCTGTCAAAGGCCTCGGTCACAGTTCCATTGCGAACGCTTTCAAGGGGTTCAAGTGCTTGTTATGTTTAAATTTCGTAAGGCGCCTCCGGGCTGCCGATATGACCGAGATCTCGGATGACAGAGTCAACCAACCAGCTCAATGGAAGAGGACCCCTTTCTTGGCGCACAAGGTAAACAACTTCCACAACCACACGATCCAGCCAAACAAGCTTATGGAAACTCCACATCATGGTCTCATTCAATACTACGCAGCTCACCACAGCCCACGGGTGCCGTGCGAGCCGAACTCGGCGTGAACCCGAGCTACTGGATTAGGAAGGACTCAACGGATCAACTTCTCTTTTGGATTCAGTTGAAAGACGACATGGTAATATTGATCAGGAATGGAGCAATACAATGTGATGCTCATGACTTCTTATAAGAACGCCGAAAACCGCCGTGATAGATACCGTCATGTTGGATTGGTAGCTGTCCAGCCACGGCCTGTCGAACCTCACCATGCGCGCCTCAACATTTCTCACGGCCCTCTGCCTTCTCGGCAGTGGTGTCGCCTCGCGTGTTGGCCGAAGAGACAACTCCACGACAACGGACACGGTGATTCCCAACCGCTTCATCCTGCAACTAGCAGATGTCAGTGACGAACCCCACCAAGTTTGTGAAGATGGTATGCTCACCGACGTGTAGGCTGCGGATGTTGCGACGGTAGCTGCAGCCATTAATGCGCGACCCGGCGCCCGAGTTGTCAAGGAGTTCAACAGCCCCGTTTTCAAGGCCGTCAGCATTGAGTCCAATACTGAGACCACCGACTCCCTCTCCAAGATCACCGACGTCGACTCAGTGTGGCCATCTCGCATGATCAAGCTCGATCCTTCGCCCAAAGGCTCGCTTGGCAAAAGAGATGCTGCAGCAGTCCCGTTCCGCGAGATTCACAAGTCCACCGGCGTCTATAGACTACATGAGGCTGGGATCTTGGGAGAGGGCGCGAAAGTGGCTGTCGTTGATACTGGAATCTACTACGATCATCCCGCTGTAAGAATTCTTCATCCAATGTTTTATGGCTGTGTGCTAATATTTAAAGCTTGGTGGTGGGTTCGGCCCTGGCTTCAAGGTTGAGGGTGGCCGCGATCTAGTTGGCGATGGATGTAGGTTACCCATGATACGATGAACGGGGAGACGGGACTGACGATACCCAGCCTGGCCGAATGAACCTAAGAACCCCGATGACGACATTGAAGATTTCCAGGGACATGGAACTCACGTCGCTGGCATTGTGGCCGGTGAAACAGAAGAGTACGACAGCCAAATAAACCGCGCGAGCCGCCTGCTAATATGGTTTCCAGGTTCAAGGGAGTTGCCCCCAAAGCCAAGATTTACGGTTACAAGGTCATGGGTGCTCGAGTAAGCAACCTATCTCGGATGATCCAGCAAATTGAAGCTCACGATTCTGTCAGGACTACACCGATGACGAGACTCTCATTGAAGCTTTCCTTGCCGCATACGACGACGATGTAAGCGGTTCATCCCAATGCCTCCAACGATATCCTTCGCTAACCGGCCATGTAGGTTGATGTCATCACGGCCAGCATCGGCGGTCCCGATGGATGGCCCGACAGCGCCTGGCAACGGGTGTGCGACCGTATCGCAGCTACTGGAATCGTCATCACCATTGCAGCCGGCAACTCGGGTTGGGAGGGCGCTTATCACGGCAGCTCCGGTTCTTCAGCCAAGGGAGTTATCGCAGTCGCATCCACAGAAGCGTCCGTCATTGCGGGAAAACCCTTCAACGCGACCTTCACCGATGCTTCCGGCGTCTCCAAAACCTTCACTATTGGCTACATGGCCGACGAAGCGTTCCCTGAGACCCTCAACGTGCCGATCGTTCCGCTCACCTTGGACACCACTTCTGAGATCGCGCGCGGATGCCAGTCATTCCCTGCCGGAACTCCCTCTTTCACCAACAAGATTATCTTGCTCCGCGCTGGAGGTTGTCAGAACTTGGTGAAGCAGGCCAACGCGAGAGCCGTCGGTGCCCAGTACGTCCTCACCTACAACGACGAGTCCGTCATCGGGGTCCCCTTTAACTACGAGAGCGCGACCATCGGCACCGTATCTGGCGACGCAGGTCATGAGATCATCAACGTCATCAAGAACGGCGGTAAGGTCACGGGCGACTTCTCCCTCGACCACTCCAAGCCCATCGGTATCCTCAACCCGTACGGCAACCTCGCAAACGACTTCACCAGCATCGGCGCCCTCAACGACCTCTCCCTGAAGCCCGATATCGCAGGGCCTGGCGGCGACGTCTTCAGCTCCTATCTCTCCCCGCCGACATGGGCTATCCTCAGCGGCACGTCGATGGCGACGCCGTATCTGGCTGGTGTCGCTGCCCTCTACATCGGCAAGTTCGGAGGCAAGAAGGTCCATGGTGCCAAGTTCAGCGAGCAGCTCATGATGCGCATCATCTCCAGCGGTGAGCCGGTACAGTGGTCCAACGATATCAACGTCGTAGACGGCTTCACTGCCTCGGTGGCCCAGGTCGGCACCGGCCTTGTCAACGCTTCCAAGGTTCTTGACTACACCACCCAGCTGTCGCTCGAGCGCTTCGCCCTCAACGACACGGCCAACTTCATCGAGAGGCACACTGTCGAGATCACCAACAATGCCGTGCAGGCGGTCACGTACACCTTTGCCGTAGAGGAGGCCGGGGGCTTTGACACCCTTGACGCTTCCGACCCGACCAAGATCGCCAAGTATCCCCTTACGCCCCAGAAGATGGTGCCGGAAGTAACTCTACCTCAAGAGGGGTTCAGTGTTGGACCGGGTGAGACGAAGACCGCGGAGTTCATCTTCAAAGCTCCAGGTGGACTCAACGCTGCCCTGCTACCCACTTACAGCGGAAACATTGCCATCAAGAGCAGTGTCGGCGAACACCTTGCCATTCCTTACCTAGGACTAGCCGCCGATCTCCAGAAGGAAATGCATGAGACCTTCGAAAAGGGGTCTCCTACAGGAACCAAAGGCCCTGATGGTAACACGGCGCTGGACGGCAGCAAGCCGGTTTCCTTCACGTTCGACCTGTCCACCGCAGCCCAAGACTTCCCCCGCATCGCGTATGAGATGTTGTGGGGAACCAAGACCCTTCGATGGGATATCTTTGAAGCTGGATGGGACGAGAGCCGCTGGACATCGTACCCGCCCGTAGTCGGAGAGAACGGCTACGTTGGAACTGCGGCGGGCTACCGTGGCTCGCCGAGCCAGGCCAACTTCGATCCAGCAAGGGATGCCAAGAACTGGACGGTTGCGTTCCCGTTGGTAAACATCTTCCGGACATCGATCGAGACAGCGAGGCACCGTGTTTGGTGGCTCGGAGGGCTCGGAGATGGGACCGACATCAAACCTGGCAATTACACGATGCGTTTTGCGGCGCTCAACCCCCTCGGTGATCCCGCCAAGGCTGATCATTGGGATGTGTATGAAGTGAAGGAGATCACCGTGGTTTCCTCTCCACACTGGTGATCGTATGATCCAACTCCGGCGGTTTGCGGTATTTGGGGTGTCGGATGTATGTAGCCGAAAGGGTCCGAAAGGATGCCCAATCTGTCGGCGCCGGCTCCCGGTGCCGGACTTTGGTGGAAGAAGGGTTAAGACTTTGCGACTTTGAACTTTCTTTTGTCTGCTTAACCAAATACTTATTATTAATTGTGAATAATAATGTTAACAAACCATGACTGAAAAGAACATGGCCCTGCTTAGCCGATCTTCGACTTTTGATCTAGACGGTCGCCGACTGCAGAGTGACATTGCAAGATAAGCGCTTGCACCCTTGGCAGGGGACATCGATAAGACATGCATCTCGTATTGATCATCACCAAGTGCTGGTCATACATGGCCTACCCCGCTGATTGCAGATAATGAGTGCAGATTTGACCTGAAACTCTCATCTGCTCTCGCATTCAATTGAAACGATTGAGATTCCGGAACCGCGATCGAAAGGTGTATTCGGGTGTTAGGAAGCGATGAAGCAGTATCGCGAGGATTACAGCGGCGGCGAGATGGGCGTCAATGGCTTCCATAACGATTGCAGTCGACCGGTGGTCTACGACGACCTTGATCCTTTTGGGCACGAGGAGAATCACCAGGTTTGCTCAAAGCATCTAACACCATTTGCAGGAGCCATGCTGAACAGGTTGCACAGATCAAGTACAAGACGCTATCATGGCATCTTGTCGCCGTCCTCATGATCGCCGAGATTGTGAGCAACGGCATGCTCTCCCTCCCCTCCTCTCTCGCCGTCGTCGGAATCGTCCCAGGCGTAGTCCTCATCGTCTTCCTCGGCGTCTTCGCGACCTACACCTCCTGGCTCCTCGTCCAGTTCAAGCTCCGCCACCCGGAGATCCACTCCATGGGCGACGCCGGGCAGGTCCTCTTCGGCCGACCGGGCCGCGAGCTCCTCGCCTTCGGCACCGTCGTCTTTGCCATCTTCGCGACCGGCGGCCAGCTCCTCGCCGGCCAGATCGCCCTCGCGACCCTCAGCGACAACAAGCTCTGCCTGATGCTATACACGGGCATCTTCGCCATCCCGACCTTCATCTTCAGCTTCCCGCGGACGATGGACCAGCTGTCGTGGCTGTGCATACCCTCAGTCATTTCCATCCTCGTCGCCGGGGTCGTGGGCATGGTCGGAGCCGGGCTGCACCCCGCGGCCGACCGGCAGGTCAGCGTCGCGGTCGCGTCGGACTTCTACACGGCCTTCATCGCCATCACGAACCCCGTGTTCGCATACGCGGGGCACTTCATGTTCTTCATCCTCATGTCAGAGATGCGGCGCCCCCAGGACGCGATGAAGGCGGCCTACGTGCTGCAGGGCTTCGCGACGACCTTCTACGCCGTGTTCGCGGTCGTGTGCTACGTCTACCTTGGCGATGGCGTCGCGTCGCCGGCGTTCAGCAGCCTGGAGCCCAAGTGGGCGAAGGCGGCGTACGGCATCGCGATCCCGAACTTCCTGCTGGCCGGGTCGCTGTATGCGCACACGGCGGCCAAGTTGATCTTTGTGAGGATCTTCCGCAAGAGCCGTCACCTGCACAGTCATACGTGGGCGGGATGGGGAACGTGGACGGTGCTAATACTGCTGTCGAACGCGGCGTCGTTTGTGCTGGCTGTGGGAGTGCCGATTTTCAATTACTTGATTGGCATCGCGGCAAGCTTGTTCGCGGCGTGGTACACGTATGGAATCGCGGGCGCGTTCTGGTTGCACGATAACTATCACGACTTTGACGGGTGGAGGCAGTGGGCGCGGAAATGGTTCCAGACACTGGTGGCGGTGTTAACCTTTGCTGCGGGAGGGTTCATCTGCGTGGCGGGGACGTATGTGACGGTCAAGGGCATTGCGGAGGCTTATTCATCTGGTGAAGTTGGCGAGCCATTCAGTTGTTAGATTACAGCAGGACAACTCATGTGAGTGGTGTTGACATGATCAATCGGCATTGGCCGAAAGCCTCAGACAGTGCCCCTGAAGATGATGTCTTGGGCGCTGAAGACACATGTGGAAGCCATGTCAGCTAGAGTCGGATGATCTGCATGATGTTTGAGACCTTGAACAAAGGAAAAGCTCCAAAAACAACTTGACGCCTCAATAACATGAGTTGACTGTGGCTATGAGCAGAGAAATGGTTGATGATCTCTGCATTAGAACGAATCTTCAACATTGAAATCGGGGAAATCTCTCCGTAAACGCTCAACCATCTTCCGTCTACAAGACCTGGCAACGTTGCAATCTAAAACACTGTGCTTTTGTCCATAATTTGTGTGTGACGGACAGTTCAAGAGATTTATTAACACTGCATAATAGACAGGGGTCCCTTGTGTGACGTCACAAACCGGCCTTGAAGCCGCTTTCGTTCCGTTTCCCGCTCACACCAAGTTCATCCCTTTCCCACCGTTGGCCGTTTTCATGTGCCCCGGTCGCTGCGTTCCACCGTTGTGCAATTCTTGGTTCCCGTCTAACCAGCAGCTCTTCCATCCAACACGCGACGCAGACACAGCTCCTCCAGCCGTGCTCGGTCTAGCCCAGCCAGGGAATGGAACTCGTCCTGGAGCACAACCTTACCCTTCATGTTCCTCCGACTGCAGGAGATCTGCTACAATCCCCTGTGTTCCTACTGGCAAATTGCTAAATCAGAGACAGGTTCTGGAATCTCGATGGGGTCCGGCCTATCTTCGTCTGACCTCGACACCGATAGACGGCCCAGCCTAGGGTCGCATTCGTGCAGCGACCGGGTCTCCAACATGGCCTGCCGATGATGACGGGTGAAGTCATCGCCGCCAACCTCGCCCAAGTGGGCACCCAATCACCGCGGCGCGTCAATACCGTTCCTGGATGAATTCAGCAACGACTGGCGTCTGCCCAGCCTCTACCAGGTTTCGCCCCGAGGCGCTTTGCCGGACCGGCCTGTCACGCTTGTTGTGCCACAAATCCCACCTCGCTTCGACTCGCTTGGAGGCGGCCTCTGCGATAGACGGGCGTGATATTGTGGCGTTTTCTTCTTCTTTTCCTGTTGCCGTGACGGCTTCCAGTTCGTCCACGACTGCCATGCTGCCTCCGCGGCCGCCACCTCGGTAGCGCCCAGTCCCGTGGCTATCACCCTTTCCACTGAATGGTCTCATTAAGTCTGTAGTGCGACTCTGTGATGGAGGTACCGGCGTACCCTTTGGTCCATTCCCCGGGAGCAACCATCTCCCCGCGTTTTCGATATACTTGAATCTAGGGCAGGGCAAAAGTCGCCTCAGCCAAGTATCCAAGTATCCGTTCCTGGATCAAGTCGAATGACTTGGACACGCCGTCCTTTTTTTTCTTCGACCTTATCCTTAATCCAAATCTCTTAACCTTCTTCCTCCTTCTTAATGCAATTGTGATGCGCCGAGAGAGGTGACCATCACTCCCCTGTCTCGCAAAGGGTCCATAATCTTTAAACCCGTCACATCTCTCTCATCAATCTGCTCCAACTCTACCCAAATCCACGTCTCACATACAGCTACCCTGCCGTAGGTGACCTCACAGGCTGCTTCCATCCCGCTCCAGACTGCGGGCGATGTGACAATCCCTACCACCCATCTGCAGGGTGGCGACATCATAGCAGCGGCGTCCAACCACTGTTCGCACGTCAGAGCCTCCCACCCAAACAGCCGTTATCTCGTATCCCAGCAGTCGCCACGCCCATTTTACCCTTCCCCTTTCTCACGATGTCCTTTGTAAATCTCTCCCGTCCTCCTCTGGACCACCGCTCGCACAGCGCGCCACATACACGACCACGATTCAACTCCCAAAACACCTCCGACCGCCTACGAGAAGGATCTGGCCTGCGCCCCCGACCGTTCGGAATGGTGAGCAACATCAAGAAAGATAGGAAGTCGATGTTCAAAGAGGTGGGACTGGAAGATGATCTCAGCGATGAGGACATGCCGGGCACGCCCACGTCGCAGCACGCGCGCGATCGCAAGGGGTCGGTTTCGAGTGAGAAAGAGTTCGGTGACGCGAGCGAATTAGTATCGGAACGCACCCGAAGTTCGAACGACGACAGTAACGGCGATGGAGACGGAGATGGTGACGGGGACAGACGGCGGTCCGAGGCCGGGCGGCATGATTCTTCCAGCCATCCCCAACGCCAGAATTCGATGCAGGTTGGGAAGCCGTCTTGGTACACCAAACTTCGGCGGCCGAAAGTCAAATCAGTCTCAAGCGCGCCGCCGCCGACAGTTGCGAGCCTCCAGCGATTCGCCATGATCGCATTGATCATTGCCGTCATTCTTCCGGCTTTCAGTTATAGTAACGGCGGCCAAAAGATTGGAAGTGGAGCAGACGCCGGTGTGATCCGGCCGCGACAGACCACATCTACCGATGTTTGCTTGAGATGGAGTCAACAAGGTGGGCTCTTTGTGTACTGCATTGATCGGACATAAGCTAACCAGGAGCAGTCGCATTGCTCAATGGGACTTTATACATATACGGAGGACAGGCCAAAACTGAGGCCACACAAACCACGAACACATGGAGTAGGTCGACTAACATCGGACGTTGAGACTGTTTCTAATCCGTACCACGCAGACAACAACTTTCTTACTCTAGACCTCACGAAGTCTTGGGATCGGTCGTCACCATCGCTCACCGGGAAGCAAAAGCCTGATGGACCACCCGCGGTCGCAAATGGCTACCTGTGGAACGACTACAACTATCTCTACCTCTACGGCGGCCAGTTCGCCGATAATGACGGCGCGGAAGGCGTGTACGCGACCCCTGCTGCCATGTCGATCTGGCGGTACTCCGTCAAAGACAACTCCTGGCTCGAATTCAGCGACCCCAAGACCTCGTCAGGAAACTACTCGACCGATGCCAATGTCGCTATTCAGCGATCCTCCGAAGGAGCTGGGCTGTCGGTTCCTGAGCTCGGTCTAAGCTGGTACTTCGGCGGCCACTTGGACCAGTCCACAACTCCAGGGTGGTCGATTCACACACCGAGGGTCTACCTTAAGAGTCTGCTTGAGTTTACGCACCCAGGTTACATGAACACCGGGGTCAACTCGCTCCGTGGCGCGGGCGCTGCTGACGGCGGTGTCTTCCGCAACATTACCGAGGGCGGTTTGCAAGACTCTGAAGCATTTCCCGAGAGAGCTGATGGTGTGCTTGTGTTCGTGCCGGGCTGGGGTGTCAGGGGCGTCTTGATCGGCATGGCAGGCGGCTCGGCAGACACCTTTGTTGACGACTTGGGAACACTGGATGTTTACGATATCGCCACGTCGGAGTGGTATCATCAGAAGACAACGGGCGACAAGCCTTCAGTCAGGGTGAACCCCTGTGCTGTCATTGCCAGCGCACCCGACGCGTCCAGCTTTCAGATCTACTTCTTCGGCGGACAAAACCTCCAGCCATACGTAAGCTCTCTGATCTGTTTGAGTGAGTTCATATCGCTAACCTCCACGCAGAAACAACAAACTCAGTATAATGACATGTACATCCTCACCATCCCCTCCTTCACCTGGATCAAAGTCGACGAAGGCGACGGCGTACCATCGCCCCGGGCAGGCCACACTTGTAGCATGCGCGATGGCCAAATGGTCGTCGTGGGCGGCTACATCGGCCAGAACGAAACCTGCGACAACTCCGGCGTATACGTCTTCAACGCCAGCAGCCTCCAATGGAGCGACAGCTTCAAGGCGGCCGACCACCCTGCCGACATCAGCCCGGACAACTCCGTCCTCGCCGGATCGTGGGGCTACAAAGTCCCCGGCAAAGTGCAGAGCGTCATCGGCGGCAACTCCGACGGCGGCGCCACTGCCACAACCCCCGCCGCCGGCCCCGCAACAGGCGGCCCCTTCGCGACCGGCAAGCCCCCGGTCTTCACCATCACGCAAGACGGCGCGACGGCTACGATCACGGCGTTCGGCCCCACCAGCACCGGTGGCTCGGCCCCCGCCAAGGACGAAGATGACGGCCCGAATGCTGGGTTGGTCGCCGCGGGCGTCATCGCTGGCATCCTCGGCGCGCTGGCCCTGTACCTGGGCTTCTGCGCCTGGCTCTACCGCCGCCAGGTCGCGGCCTACAAGCAGCATCTCTCGCAGGTGAACCGGTACTCGGGCGCCAGCTCGATGCACTTTGGCGGCGCGCTGTTGGCAGCGGGAGCAGCCGAGCGTCAGGAGAAGCGCGGCCACCGCAGGGATGCCAGCACAGCCAGCAACGAGTCATTCTCGTGGGTGGGAGCGGGTGTGGAGCCGAAGTGGATGATGGACGAGCCGACGCCAGGGTCTGGATCCGGGTCCGGAGGCACAGGGGGTACGGCGTTTGGCAGCGGGAGCGGCGGTAGTAACCCCAGGAGGCCGAGTGAGGATATGCGCAGCGGGAGGGACCCGCGGACGAGCTCGAGCAGGAACGCGAATACGGACAATGAGAGCGTCACGAGCGCGGATGGGCTGCTGGACGGGCAGGAGCCGAGTTTCTTCTCGGTTGTGATGGGGCCGAGACGGGCGCTGAGAGTGGTTAATGGGGTGGAGTAATGGGACTGGGAAAAGTACACGATGTGAAAGCGATACGACTGCATGAGAACACGATATGGAGTTTCTGTATATACTATGCACATGTCCGAGGCGGAGTGTGCTCCTTGCAATCGCTAGATACCCTTCCGCTATGTACACGAATTGATATTTACACCATTGAGACGATATCAACAGCTCAATCTGGGAGCAAAAGGTGTGATTTGACATGATTCTGTCTCTAGTATCGAACCACAAAGTCCTTCGGATCGGAAAGCTGCGCAGCATTGCTCGCCTCAAACGGGTACTTTCTCTCCAGCTGCTTGATCAACTCCACATGCTTCTCGCTGCGAGGCGTAACCTTGAACTGGAAATCCGTTCCGTACATCAGCACGCCCGGCTTCGGCTGCACATCCACCTCGATCTCTCTACCATCCTCGCCCACGGCCCAGCTCAAGTTGAACGCCGCAATCGTCTGCGCGATGTTGAGATACAGACTGTTATCAGCAAACACCTTGCCAACGCAAATCCTACGTCCGTAGCCAAACGCTTCGGTATGAGAGTCGGGCTCATTGCGAGGCGGGAGGAAGCGGTCGGGGTTGAACGTGTCTGGATCAGCATGGACCTCGGGGTCGTGTAAGAACCAGTAGACTGAAGGCAAGATCATGGCGCCCTTCGGAATGCGATATCCCTCGTATTCGAAATCCTCGGTTGCTGTGTGCGGGAAGCCCATGGGCGTGAGCGGCCACCATCGCAAGGCCTCTTTAACCAAAGCATCTACGTATGGTAGCTTCTCGCGGTCCTCGAAGCCAGGCAGGCGACCCGTTCCGATGACCCGGTCAATTTCCTCTTGCGCTTTGCGCTGGACGTCGGGGAACTTGAGCATGGCCAAAGAAAAACTAGTCAAGACAATCACCGTCGTGTCTGTAGAGGCGCCGTAGAGACTGCAAGCTGCCCACAACACGGCGTCCTCGTCCTCGGCACTCAAGTTTCCATCGTCACCCGCTTCCAGCTGCTGCACGGTCTTGGGTACGAAACAAGTAGGGGAGGTAAAATTGGCCATCTGGTTCTTGACGAACTCGAGTGGAATGTAGGCTGACGACTGGATCGACTTGCGCCACTGCTTTGCCTTCTTCTGGAAGGTCGCGCCGGGGAAGTTTTCAGGAAGATGGCGGAGGGCAGGGAAGATGTCGACGGCCCAGGCCATGGGACTGGCAGCGATTGCAAACTCCGAGAGGGCCTTTTCGATCATATCTACCAAGGCATCCGGCTTGTGAGGCTCGACGGTGTATCCGTACGTCACCTTCAACGATGTGGCCGCGGCAGCCCTTTTTCATTTGCTGTCAGCAAGCATATGCAAGACAGGATTGTAATCTTGACTCACTTTTTAAAGTGACGCAGCAAGTCGCTAGGCTCCCTCAACGCACGCACAAGCTGCCGGCCCACCTCTGCCACTTGTACATCGAGAAATTGCGCCGCAGATGCCTTGGTTCCCAATTCCTGATGAACGAATTTGCGGCGACGGAGGTAGTCGGGAGTGTAGCCTTGACAGAGGAGCACATTTTCGTAGCCACACAGCTTGCCCGCCATTTCCATCGTGGGTCGTCCAGATGTTTTTACCGCATCCTGGTCAAGCAAATCGTGCGCCATCTGCCTGTCGTTGACAATGACGAGCGTCATCCCCATGACCGTCACGGAACTGATTGGCCCATACAAGTCCTTGTGCTTGATCCAGTGGAGGTGCTCCGGGACGCCATTGGGTGGGAAGTCTCTGATGTTTCCGAGAAGCGGGAGTGGCTTGGGGCCGGGCGGAAGCTTGCCTCGGGGTTTGGTTGAATGATGGTAGACGGTGTACGCCACCAAGCCGAGGATGGCCAAGATTGGCCAAGTTATGACAGCCATGGTGAGGTCGTCAGCAATTTTGCTGACAGGCGCGCAAGTCTCGCCGCTCTAGCGTAGTCAATTGGCACAGGTAGGAACGAATGAGATCGCGATCATTGGAAATTGTGACCATGTGGCCTTCCAGCGAGAAGAGGGGAAACCAACGACATGTTTACACCCCGGTTCCGCACGTGATGTTATCTCCTGCAGGAAGGCGGCACAGTTACACGAGTGTCGATTCGTCTTGGCGTGGTTACTCATCAGTTGCTTTGAAGTCGTTAGAGATCGCGAAGGCCGGGGTTCGACGTCGTCACCGGGCGTTATGGACTCAAATTGACCTGCCGAACGCCCGGAGCGAGACCTGGACTGACCGGCGACCACCCCGAGACCGGTCGGCCCCACCTTTCCGGACGCTGACATCGGCAGGCCTCGGTCTGGGGATCGAAGTAAAGGAGGGGCAAATGAGAACTCCACTATGAATAGGCAAAGCTTTCCGATGAACAGATGGAAGAACATTTGGCCCGCCTCATCCCGAAGCTTCACGATGATTAAGCGCGTAAGGCGGTCGCTTGAACTTACCAATGTTGGGACGAACCTATGAACAGTTCCACGGTCTCATAGCAACACCCGAGTCTGCAAAATGATACCAGGTCCGGCGAAAGTTCGCCTCGTTCTCGGCTGGCATAAGGCGTGAAACCCCATGTCGAGGTTGCTGAGCTGTATCTAGCCGCGAGAAACTTTGGCGCCTCGCAAGAAATGCACCTTCGCGTGGCACCCGAGACAAAAACAACGGCTACTCGCCAGAAACGACGGTACTCCAAGACGCTTGTCTCACGGGAAACCAATGACAACTTGGACATGGCGTGAAAGCATGCCGCCCAAGACCTCTCAAGTTAAAGCTTGAGCATATCGGTGAATCAATCTCGTATCTGTCGTTGAGGATGCCAACTCTTGCTCCCGTGTCTCATTTCTTTCCCCGATGTCTCTTGCGACGGAGCACAAGTGGTCGAGGACCGATCTCAGCTCGCGTCCAAACTTTTTTAGACCAAGACACGGCGGCGATCATAGCTCATTAAGCTTGTTTATAATGACAAACTCCACAAGGGGATTAGTCTGAAAGTTTGCGGTAGAACCGAGACCTTACCCATTGGCTAGCGGCATTTTACAGGGAAATCATCATCTGATCTTTCAAGTTTTTCTCCCCAAGGCTTTGAGGAGCTTAATCAACTCTACTCAATTTCCCTTTCGTAAGAAGTGCGAACATTTCAACGGCTGACCGCTGCTACGCTGCGGCTCCCGCCGAGGACCCAAGATCCCCGCCCCTCCCGCTCTTGACTCGTGCCACCCGCTCCCGCCAGCGCGCTATCACGAATTCGCGAATGTGTCGCATGTCCCTCTGATGTCTTTCGGGGGAGGGTTACATACAGTCGGCGATCACGCAATGACGATTCCCCGGGATACTGAGTCAGCCCGCAATGCAGTATCGCCCGCATCAACTCGAACAGCCGCCCAAGGCGTAGAAGGCGTGCTCGCCGGTAATTCCGCAGGACCCAAGACGACCAAACTTAAAAAAAGAATATCACACCCACCCCCTTGTTGAAGGCAGATCGATGCCACATTCAAGGACACCCACCTGAAGAGACCGACCTACCTCTTTCAGCGATGCTGTCGACTCTCGATTGGCACCGTCACTAGATCCTTTACTTTACCTGACGCTAATGCCACGGCCCGATTTCCCCACAGGACGGGCATGCCGTGGCGCTGTCACCCAGATCTACGGCTGCTTAGGCTCATTTCAGATGTCTCGCGGTATCACACCATCAAGATGCCGTGGCACGCACTTTTGAGATGTCCGGGAAACGAACAGTTTCTCGTTTCGATAAATAGCATGGAATGCCCCTGGGTTGAGAAAAAAGAACTTGTAGATCAGCAGCTTCTCCTGACAACAGCCTAGCTCTCTAATACCCATCTCACCGTCTACACTCTTTTACTAGACCATCACAGCACTGTCGCTATCATGAAGTTCACTCTTTCATCCGTCATCCTCTCGGCCCTGAGCCTGGCTTCCGCCGCGCCCATCGCCAACTCCTCCACACTCTACGATGCCGTCATCGTCGGCGGTGGCCCTTCAGGTCTCGCCGCCCTGAGCGCCCTCGGCCGTGTCAGGAGAAACGTTCTCCTCATCGACTCTGCCGAGTACCGCAACGCCCCTACGAGGCACATGCACGATGTCCTCGGATTTGATGGTAAGGATATCCTTGTAAAACATTTTTGCCCGCACATCTGCTAATCTGCCCCAACAGGCGTCACCCCCGCATGGTACCGCTACGCCGCCCGCAAGCAGATCGAGGCCTACGAGACCGTCTCCGCCATCAACGGCACCGTCACCAAGATCGGCGGCAGCGACGCCGACAACTTCGAGGTCTCCTACACCGGCGCCGAGAACAGCACCCAGACCGTCAAGGCCCGCAAGATCGTCCTCGGCACCGGCCTCCAGGACATCCTCCCCTCCACGCCCGGCATCGAGGAGATCTGGGGCAAGGGCCTGTACTGGTGCCCCTGGTGCGACGGCCACGAGCACGCCGACCAGTCCATGGGCCTGCTCGGCGACCTCACCGACGTCCCCTCCCTCGTGCGCGAGATCCTCACCCTGAACACCGACCTCGTCGCCCTCGTCAACGGCACCGACACCCTCGAGAACCGCAACGCCACCGAGGCCAAGAACCCCAAGTTCCAGGAGTTCCTCGACCTGCACAACGTTACCGTCGAGAACCGCACCATCGCAAAGGTCACCCGCCTCCAGGACGGCGGCGCCCACCCCGCCGACCCGTCCCTCGCGACCGCCCCCGAGCACGACCTCTTCCGCGTCGACTTCACCGAGGGCGAGCCGCTCGAGCGCTCCGTCTTCTTTGCCAGCTTCCCCGACGAGCAGCGCAGCTCCATCGGAGCGGATGCCGGCGTCACCCTCTGGGGCGGCAGACTCGCTGTTGACGTTGCCAAGGGATACGCGACCAACGTCAACGGCATCTACGCTATCGGTGACGCCAACTCGGACAACAGCACCAACGTCCCCCACGCGCTGTACACCGGCAAGAGGACTGCCGTCTTCCTCCACGTCAGACTCGCCAAGGAGGACCAGGCCAAGGAGACTGGCGTCGAGCTCTCTACCCTGCTTAAGAGAGACACTGAGCACGAGGAGCGCGCCCTCTGGGACGTCGTCAACGGCAAGCGTGACGAGATCCTGTACGCTGGCGAGTTCGACCAGTAAGGACTTCATGTACATGATTTGGGATGCCAGCGGAGGCGTTTTTACATAGACAGGCGGCGTTTGGAAAAGTTACAATGACATTTCATTTTGATCCTTCAATCTGCTTCATCTTCAATCTCCAAGTTGCCAACCTTGAATTTCTTGCCCTTCATGTCTGCGTAATCATTGTGATGATGGTAGTTCTTTACGCGCTCTCTGACGTATTGCAGGCCAGTGACTGGCTCCGCGTTCTCGGCATCATCCTTGACGAGCCCGAGTCTCTTTAGTAGGGGAGAAGGAGCTGGCTTGATGTCGACATCGTCACCGGGTCTCACAAAGTAGAATAGCCCCTGGCGGAAGAGATGGGCCTGGTCTTCGGGCGGTCGGACGACCCGATGCGTCGTCGACTTGAGGTACCCTGCAGACCAGAAGTCGAGGGTGTCGCCCACATTGCAGACGATGCCGTTATCAACGGGCGGGACGTACTTCCATTCGCCGGAGGACGTCTTGATCTGGAGACCAGCAACGTCCTGGCTCCACAGCAGCGTCAGGGAACCAAAGTCAGTGTGGGCGCGGGACCACGTGTTGGCGACTTTGAGGTCGTCGACGAGGGATCGCGGATGGTAACCCATGTATCGAAGATGATCTTCGCTGGGGTCCTCATATGCGTGACGGGAGGAGAAGTAGTCTTCTGGAAGCTCAAGGATGATGGAAAACAGAGTAAAGACCTTGCTAGCGACCTCGAGTGAACGCTATTCATGTTTTAGCTGATGTTCTCTGCAAAGCTAGGAGCACACTCACCCTAGAGAAATCCTCAATCTCCTCGCGATAAGGCTCGAAGAAAGGATGAAATGGCTCATTAGCATACTTGGGAATGAACTTCGCAATGTTCACTGACTCCACATTGTTGAGTACTTCTGTGCCTTGCATCTTCTTATCATGAAACTAGTTTTACCAGGTCAGCCAATGCCCTCTCTGTCAGTAGGATCAAGACATACCGGCCTGTATCCAAAGTAGTTCCCCTTGGAAAAGTCACACGTGTTTCCTGGCCTTGCTTTATCTTCAACGGGAAGGCCGAAGAATCCCTGTCCGATGTCATACTGGCGCTGTACCTCCTCAGGCGTGAAGCCAGTATTGATCAAGCTGAAGAATCCCGTATCGTGAACCTGACCATCCTGTCAACGACTGCTCGCTGTTTACACCGGTGTTACTCACGGCTTGGCGCAATTCTTCAGCAAGCTGCTTCTTGCCACCCGGCTCGTCAAACTTGCCAATATCGATCACCTTGATATCCGCCCAGGGGAGATCATGCGTGGTCTTGGCTGGGCGCTGCCATTTCGGCAGGGGTGTGGTTTCAGGAGAAACGGCCGACGGCATTTTGGGCTTCCTTTCTTTTCAATTTTCGCTGGCAATTCGGCGAGCAAAGGCGTCGAATTGAAGTCAAATCGCAATGATAAATACCCCTCCATCTGATGTCACGACGTTCCCCGCGCCGGTACTTTCGCGCCGTGCCGGAGGCGGATCGCCGCGTTCTGAGCACGCCATCTCCCTCAACCATGACGAGCCGAATCCTCAGACGATGGTTGGTGAGAACACCCACATGCCATGCGACTCGGAGCTCCTTGCTGGTTCAATTAGGATGATTTGCATGAGGATTTCGGCGTGCATCCATCAAGGATAGGTGACGTTGAGGCCGACGTCGGGGTCACTCCCATCAGTCCTTCACATGAGACGAATTTCACCATGATTAGATGGATGCACCAATGAAACAACCAATACCATGAAAGAGGATTGGTCTTTTTACCATTGAATTGACTGACTGGAGAAATTACTCGCATGCAGGCGATTTTCGATGCCGAAAGCGACATCAAGGTCAACCTAAGCGAGTCCCACTGTGCAGCGCGCCCTACATAGGCATCCTATCTTCTCCACAACAACAACAGCGAATCAACAACGCATTCTTAGTGTAGCGGTTATCATCCCAGCCTTCCACTCGAGAAATCGGTCAGCTGGGGACCGGGGTTCGACTCCCCGAGGATGCATTACTTTTGCTGGTTGTTTTGTTTGCTGATTTACCTTGTCCGTTTCACAACGACGCTCTTTTTGGGATTTGGCAGAGCAATTGGTTTTTATCTTCATCCGGAGGGCCGAAGCGGGATCGGTTTACTCTACGGGAAAAGGATCCGTGCACATCCGTGCTAGGACGGCGATTGGATTGGTCGACGCAGCGCGGAATAAGAAGGGGGCAGGAAGGAGGCCGGGTGAGGGTAACGGTAGCGGCGGCAGGCGCGAACTTTCGCTCCCGGAGTTTTGCTGCATTTGCCGGCTTCAGCGTCCATAGTGTCTGTTACTATTTCTATCGTAATTATTATTCCTATCATCTCTGTCTTCTCTTTATGTTGTGTATGTCGTCTCCCTGCCTCGTCTCTGTTATCGCGTTACCTACTTCTGGAAATCCCTCAAACTAGGTCTTGCTTGATGTACTGGGTGCTGAAGCCGCATGTAAGGAAGAAAATCGTTTGTCTCGCATCCTTGGGGAAACGAACCCTTGTCCTTGGTTTTGCCGATTTCTGGCTACTCGCCAGCGTAGCGACGAAGAGTGCAGGGACGACAGGGACGATACCAGAGAACGACACCAGGAGACAACACCGGAGAACGATACCGGAGGACGACACTGGAGGATCATTCCGAGGGTAGAGACGTCATGAACAACAAACACCATCAAGACAACGGGAAAGACATCAATTGAAAACGCATCCGCATAGGATAAACTGACCAATGTTCATAGCCGAAGCCTCGCAACGCTGTCACTTCTTCCCTCGCATTGCGTAGGAATACATTGAGCTAGGCGATATTATTCGGGGTCTAATAGGAAGATACTTCGGCACCCTGGAAATACGTTGCTTTTGCTATTTGTCGACAATTCTGCTTCCCTTTCCCCCTTGCAATCCTCAGGGACAGAGCAATGGCGACGTCTTTGTAATGTCTATGGACATGTTGAGAGACGTGTAATTTCGATTGCAGAACACGGCGGGGTTGTAGAGATGCTTATCAATTCATTTGATTTTCCTGAAATTGTGACCAAGCGTGGCTATTAATGTTAGTTGTGGTATGCCGACCGCCTACTTCACTCATATGCGGACTGGAAACCAGCATTATCTTCGAGCACCTCCGTGGCAAGGCTGACCTGTATTTCCGTTAGTATGGTAGCTGTAGAGACAGTCGAGCTAGCGAGAAGCGCAACCTGTCGTAGAGGAATGTGCTGTGTTGATTTTAGCGGCACATGTAGGCGCTGGGCCGCATTTTCCAGAAGAGGTAGATCTTCTTAAGCTAACTGAGCCGAGGCTCTCCCGTGTTGAAAGCTCACACTGGGTACGGCAGCTAGACGAGTAAGTTCTGTCACCTGGCCGACCCAGTCGTGGATTGCGGCTAGGGAGTATGGGTCTGGACCAGCCTCGACACTGGGAGGGATCTCAGTATCGAGCCCTTTGGAGTTGTCTTCACAGCCTCAACGCGAGCTAAGGGGATGAAGTATCGTCCCACTTGTACTGACTTATTGCTTTCTCGGGTATCGACCCGTCATAAGAGCTGTTAGGTAGAATGGAGGAGCTACCAAGTTTGGTAAGTATGCGCAGACTCACGGAAGAAAGCGGGTCGGGGATAGCACCGAGCAAGGCGGCGATTTTGCGGGAGCTATTTCTAGCCTTTCAATATAAGAGTAACCATCTTACTGGACGAAGCACCCGGCGAAGTGCTCTTACTTCATTTAGCTTAGTATTGTGTATCCTCTTACAGGGGTGGGCTATGAAAGTTCCTCGACATATCAGAGTAGCCGTGCAGAATGTGATGATCACACTCTTCGGTTGCGCTCAAGCGCAGGCACAGCATTATGCTCGGGGTTATTGCTCTTCCCGATTGGCCCTGACTACCCTGTCGTCGAAACTGTTACAAGCAGGAGTTCTTTGACGCGGGGTCGTTGGTCGTATCCGCTTGAGAACTTCAACAGGCTCGGGTACCTACTCCGTGTGCCCAACAAGACCGGCTGAGTGTGGTCTATGTAAGATAAATGGTGGGTCGACGGGAAAGAACTGCGCAGCCTACTTCGGCTTGGCGGTTGCTCAGCCGCTGATGCCCCGGCATTCGCGGCTCCAGCCTGTTTACATCTTCTCTTATGATTCAGAATGGTGAGCGACTTTTCCACTTTGCATGCACTTCCGTCATTCTATCGTCGGCAGCATGTCAGTCTATCGAGTTGTCGGCCTCCCCACGGGCCTGTCCAAGGCCAGTACAAAGGAGATACTCGATGAGCTCTTTGGCACAGAGACACAGACGATAGTCCGCTCTCTGGGTCTGTACCCCCACGCGGACTACATGGTTGCGATTGTCATGTTCTTCCCTGTGCCGAGTCCTCTGCTGAAAGGGCATTCCTGGAAATTCGACAAGGTCCTGTCATTCGAGGGCCAAGTGCGGCGTGTCCAGGTCGAAATCGACACGACCTTTCTCGGTTTCACTCCCTTGAACGTTGTGGAGGACACTCATGACAGCAGGGTTGACTGCATTGTCGTCAGTGAATTTGGCAGTCACTCTTTTGAATCTTGGAAAGACGGGTGTGGTCAATTCATGTGGCTGGTGGACGATGATACAGCGTTTCCCCCAAACGTCCGCGTTCTGCTTTACGGCTATAACGCCTCACTGCGCGGGACCGAGTCAACCCAGAATCTCACCGACTTTGGCGACCAACTTGCCATCTCACTCCGGAGTGTACGGCCTTTGTCCAACACTCCAACGCAATCGAAGGCTCGGCCTATCGCGTTCATTGCTCACGGCCTGGGCGGGCTGGTTGTCAAAGAAGCCATCTATAGCTTGGCAAAGGAAAATGATTTCAACGCCCAATACATTTGCGGCTTTGTATTCTTCGGCGTACCGCATCAAGGGCTATTGGTCAAGCCCTGGCTTCGTCTGATCAAAGAGCAGCCAAGTCGGCAGCTTCTGGAGAACCTCAAGCCAGGGTCACCTTATCTAAAAAGGCTAGACAAGAGCTTTCAAGAAGCCATAACTTTCCAGCGCATGAAAGTGGTCAGTGTTCTCGAGGAAATGAACACACAGGGCACGCAGAAGAATAGCAACGGAACCGTGGGGCGAACTGCAGATGGAGAATTGCTGGTTCCGATCGGCTCGGCTCTGGGTCACTGGCCAAAATCCGTGTCTCTTGGTCAAATGGCCATCAATCGCAACCATGACAACCTCCCGAAGTTCCGGGGCCGCTTTGACGAAGACTACCAAACATTCAAACACTGCTTACAAGACATGTGGGGAACTGCAGTTGAAGATGTCCAAAGAAGATTTGGAGCCAACAGGAAGCCAACCAATTCGAACATACCCCTCGTGCAGGAGAGGTTACGAGAAGTTTTGCCAGAAAAGGATCTGCCTGTTGGTCTGATACCGATTTGGCCGGATCCACATAACGATAACGCAACCGATATTCCAACAGATGTGGACCTAATCGCCATCCATGGTGTTGGGGGCCACGCCGTCGAGACTTGGACTTGTGGCGATAGATTCTGGTTGCGGGACTTTCTGCCATTGGATTTCCCTAGAGCCCGCGTGTTGACCTTTGGTTTCGACGGATCTTCAGTCTTCAACGCCTCCAAACCCAGCATTGCCAACATTGCCACCCAGCTGCTATCTGGTATCCAGCAGCTGCGAAGAAGCAAAGCCGAAGCGACCGATCGGAAACTTATATTCGTTTGCCATGGGATTGGTGGGATAGTCTTCAAGCAGGCCATGATCATGGCTTGCGAGAGTGAAAGTCGATACAGTGGGCTCGGAAAGTCCGTGGCGGGTGTCATATTCCTCGGCACACCGCATAAGAAAGCCAACATTGATTACTGGTCGGACCTGCTTAAAAATATTGCCCTTCTTTGCGATCATCAGCAGAACCTGTTGTCCAGCCATAAGGAAAGAGCCATTGAGCTGGGATCTATTTGTTCGGATTTCGAGGAGCGTGGAATGCCAGCGGGCCTACAGGTCTTCAGCCTTTTTGAGCAACATATTACGGAGAGATTAGGATCTCTGGTAGGCTACTGAAGCCTTTTTCGTCAGCTGTTGAGTGATAACCACTAATACATGGTTTGCAGGTCGTCGACAAGTCCTCAGCAATTCTCCATCTGCCTGTAGAGACTACTCTTCCACTGGACGCGGATCATGACAACATGTCAAGACATCCCACAAGGTCCAGCCTTAATTATTCGACAGTCTTCAATTGCATTGCTGAGTTGGTGGATAACATCTCAGGAAAACCTGAATATACCTGTGCGTAAAGACACTATACAGTCCCAGCCCAGCTTATCGATACTTTGGAATCGCTCAGATAGCTAACGTTTAAGAGCAAGCAGTCTTTAACTCTTCGCAACTCCGCTTTCTGTTAGATTTGAGAGCCATAGACTCAGGAAGAATCCTATCGCTGATTCCCGTTTACTCCAATAAGTCATCCAAGTGGCTGCTTGAAAATCCCGATTTTCAATCGTGGACTGGGCAACAAGGCCGCCGAACTACTTGGCTTCATGGGCCACCCGGCTCAGGCAAGACGATACTCATGAGAGGTGTTGTCGCTCACCTGATCGAACAAAGCGAGTCATCCACAGACATTGTCATTCAAAAGCCGCTATACTTCTTTTTCGACGATAAGGACTCCACACGGAATACATCGTCTGCTTTTGTGCGCTCTGTTTTGAGTCAGATTCTTGTTGATGCACGAACGTCGTATCTCATCAAGTATCTGGAGGGTCGTGATTACATAGAGGATGCGCAAGTGGAAGACAATCTCTGGGTATGTCTTTCGAATGTTATTGAGAGATCACGAGGAATTGTGTTCCAGTTTGTTGTCGACGCGATTGATGAAGTGCTTCGTAGCAGTGTCGGCGAAACAACAACAATCCTCCACAGACTCAAGCACCTCATCACCCAGGACCTGAGTGGCCGGGTTAAAATGATATCTCTCACCGCGAGATGCCGCAGAATTAGTTTCTGAAGATGGATGTTGCCACCATTAATATCGACAACGATTCTAATTGGCAAAGTGTTCGGTCTTTCATCCGCCGTCAAATACGAAGATGTGGCCACAAATCCCACATCTCAACCAGTACCGGAGATGTCGTGGAAAACAAGATTATGGAGATGTCTCGGGGGAACTTTCTGCATGCTAGACTTGCATGGGACCAGCTCTTTGAGGGCATGACAAGCTGGTCCCGGCATCAGATGCACAAGAGCATAGATCAGCTCAGTGCAATCTCCAACGGTCTAAATGCAGCCTATTGCAAGCTCTTGAGCAGCATCCCGAGAGAGCACCGGAGTAAGGCCAAGGCCTCTTTCGCCATTCTCCGAATCACTAAAGAGAAGCTGACGTCTCGCCAACTTGCGTTTCTTGCCAACTTGCACACCCAAAAGTTAGATACGCAACTATCACTGTCTGAAGTCCTGTCTTAGAGTGCCGAATTTGAGAATTACTTAGCGGAGGCATGTGGATACCTCATCAGAAGAGCCGGTGATGGTTCGGTGGATTTCAACCACAGTTCTGCCAAGGACCTGTTCACAAACAGTACGGAGGGCCTCTTGCCAGAGGAGAAACAAGTCATTTCAACTTTTGAGGTCTCAGGGGCGGATGCACACGCCATGATGCACGCTTTGTGCATGTCTATCTTTCAACTGGAGAAGAGACAAGCGGACTGGTGGCACGAAGTTCTGGAAGATGTGCGTCAAGCTCAGGACAAACTGAGAAGATCATTCACCACCTCTTGGGTATCTCGCGAACAAGCAAACGAAGTAGCCGACTTGGGCGCTGCTCGCATCCAGTCCTTCGCCAGAACCCCTTGCTTCACCTATGCACTCCGATATTACATCAGTCATTACGAAGCTGCGACGCCCAGCTCCCATATCGATATCGCACTTGTCTCGTTCATGCATACTCGACAAGCGTACCACTGCCACAACATGTGGTTAGCGATCCGCGAAAGGTATAGAGACTGCGACCTGAACAGGACCATCCCAGTGCATACGGATCGTGAAGAGCAAAGCACTAGCTCAAACCTATACAAAAGTGAAGCTCTGTTTCGGATTATGACGCAAGGAGACTGTCCACGGATTGTGAACGGTCTCGCGGCTCAAGGTGCCAATATCAATCACGTGGCCGACTCGAACCACGAACGCGTCACACTTTTGTCGTGGGCTATTATCTGCAGACGAAAGGGTTCTTTTAGTGCGCTTTTGCGCAATGAACAAGTCCAAGTCAACTACAGCCCCGACGGTATTCGTACGCCGCTTCACCACGCAGCTCGTTGCGTAGACGACGTATTCTACGTCCAGAGGTTGATAGATCATCCCTACACCAATGTCAACATTCTTCACGCATCTAAGACGGCGCTTCACCTGGCGCTTGATTCAAAGAATAAATCAGCAGTCAAAGCACTTGTAGCTCATTCAGATATTGATCTTAGCATACGAGATTCGCATTTGGAGACTGCCTACCTCAAGGCATTTGAGCATACCATGTGGGAACCGTTCCTGCTAGAAATTATGGCGATGGTTTCTAAGGGAACCTTCTCCATACCAATCCCCGGAACCAACCAGATTCTTGCTGCCGGTAGACACGGCTGGAAGGATGTCGAGGAAATCCTTCTAAAGGAGTTCCCCGCCCAAGTGCTAACGCAGGACCCAGACACAAAAATGCATGTGTTGGCGCACTACGCGTTCTTTGGCCATCGGGAGAAGTTGCTCTGGATCATGGACCGTCTTCCACCCCAACGCGCCTCATTACGCAGCGAACTGGACCACTACGACCTTCTTCATCTGTGTGCCAGCCACAACTGGGAAGACATTGTGCATATGATGCAGCGGAAGTATCGTCTACCGTCTCTTTCCTCGGACCATATGGGAAGAACACTTCTGCACTGGGCCGTGGAATACAACTGGGATATCGACAAGATGAATCTCAGTCAGTACAGTATGGCTGATCTCAATAAGAAAGACCGCAACGGGTTGACAGCAGCTCACATCGCCGTCACAAACAGGAACATGGCCGCCTTAGAAATCTTGATTGCTTCGGGGGCAAGTTGCTTGGAAAAGGACAACGCTGGCATGTCACCCGCCCACATGGCTGCCGATCAAGGCTACGGCGCTGTACTTGAATACTTCATAGGCATACATCATGCCGACTTTGGGATAACTCGTACAGGCGCCAGCCTCCTGCACCTGATCGCTCTGTGGGTCGACGGAGCTACGATTTGTCACTTCGTTACTTCGCGAAACGCAGCGATAAATATCAACTCCGTGGACCGCGAGCGCCGTACCGCGCTACACTACGCGGCCATGGCCGGCAACGTGTCTGCGGTTGAAGCGCTCGTTTCGCTAGGTTGTAGCATCAATGGACGCGACAACAATGGCAAATCACCCATCCACGAGGCTATCCGAGGCGGCGGCGCTGACACTGCTTTGCGGCTCTTGCACCTCGGCGCGGACTGGCGGGCCACAGACGCATTCGGTCAGACTTGCCTGCATCTGTCCCTCCGATACAACAATGAAATTCTTGTATCGCGCTTCCTACGGCTAGGCATGGACATCGGCGCCGTGGACCGGTTCGGGATGACGCCGCTTCATCGGGCGTGCGGCGCGGGCAATGTAGACCACGCCCGCGGGCTTCTTCACAGGGGAGCGGCCTGGGATGCGCGGAACAAGCATGGACGCTCACCACTGGAGCTGGCCGTGGAGGCGAGGGCGAAGAGCACCGTAGAGACGGTTGTGTCGTGGGTGCTGACGCTTCGGAGGGCGCAAATCCGCGGAAGTCAACGCAGGATCAGTCAATACTTCGACAGTGCGCTCAAGCTGGCCTGTGAGCTGGAGCTGGATTCTACACGTATCGGCAGCATACTGAAGGAGACCGGTGCGGAAATTGACTACAGCCAGGTCAAGGTTGAGAGGGTGTATCTAGCTGGGCCGACTGCAGAGAAACGTGATCCCCTTGTCCCTCGAGGGTCACCACTACACAATCCGTTCAACAGCCCGTTCAACAGCGATCCCTTGGGCTAGTCCAAAATCTCAGACCATGATAGTAGCCATGACGGGTGGAACGGTTATTCAGTGCTAGATGGCGTCAGTAGACATGTACTTACTAGATAGGCAGAGCAGTATCATATGATGTTTGCGTTGAATTTAATTCTGTCTATTTCCATAGATGAAAAGGTTTATTGTAGAAGGAAATTGGTGTTCGTTCCCCACGATATTCTTCTTCGGTTTTGTTGAGGTGCCGCTCCAGAGCTATGAAAAAGAAGTAATAAAGCTGAGTCGTCCGCGCATTTAACTACATTGAGTAGTTGAGAAATCATCTACAATGCAAAGTCAAGCCAGCGAAGTTTTGTTGCGGAAGTCCTGCCACCTGGTCCCAGTCGATTGTCACGGCCGGATGCATTAAGCTACGCTAATGATTTCGGGGATAAGAATCCTTCAATTGTAATAATAATGGTGTAATTCGCAACCATTCTCAGGGATTACAAACGATGGCGTATTGCGCATGGCCCCGCAGTAAGGCGTGCTCTTCGCAGCGCCAGTATGGCTTCACACCTGCGGGATCGGAACAGATCGTTGGAGAAAATGCAGGGGTAAAAACTACAAACATCACAGGAAATCTTGATTATCTTGCAGACACGCCTCCAATACCACCAGCTTATCCCAGCCCACTAAGCAACCAGTGTCTTCCATCGTCGCTTCGATACGCAGCCGGTCTTCCATCAACATGGGCGAACAAGCCCGGTCAACAAGTGTCGTTCATGAGTCCGAGGAGGAAAAACCGCTCCTCCAAATCGCTCATCGAAAGATTGACAAGAGGCTCCTGCTATGGTACTCATTCGTGTATCTTATGCGAATTCACGTCAGCAATATTAGTAACGCAGCCATCATTAATCTGGAAGAAGGTACTGGCATACGAAAACAGCTCGGAAATCTGTCGAGTTCGCAATGGGCTTGGGCACTAAGTATTTTCTACTACCCTTATATGGTCTTTGAGCCGCTCGCGACGCTTGCTTTAAAACGATTCTCACCATCTATTTGGATGAGCCGAATTATGATCACATGGGTATCTCGGGACTTCAAGACGGGAAAAGATGTCGCTGACACAATCGATAGGGAATCATCTCAATGTGTCAGGGAGCGACTCAGAACTATGCCGGAATCCTGGCTTGTCGTTTCTTTCTCGGACTGGCAGAAGCTGGCTTTTATCCTGGAGTTTTGTATCATCTCAGCTTCTGGTATCCGACACAGAAGCTTCCTCTGAGAATCGTACGTGCATTTAAGTCCTCGCTGATGTCAACGCTAATGCCTCGAAGGGCTTCTTTTACGCTTGTGGGATGTTTTCGGGGACTATCAGCGGTCTTCTAGGTAACTTCCAACCACAGATTTCTTTATGAGCGTTAATTGACAGTCTACAGCCTACGCTATCTCTTTCATGAATGGCGTTGGCGGCCTTGCTGGCTGGAGATGGGTACTTATGCCGCGATTGAAGTAATTGGGCATGGACTAATTCGACGACAGCTCTTCATTCTTGAAGGAATCCCGGCTATCCTTTGTGGGATCTACACCTATTTCTTCCTTCCCAACTGCAAGTCGACTACGATCCTGCTGTCCCCTCACCCATCAATGCTAATACAATTCTAGACCCGGAAACATCCAAGTTCCTCACAGAACCCGAAAGAGATATTGTTCTCGCCGACCTTCCCGAGCAAGCACCGACGATGAAGGCTAAGACCATCAACTTCGAGCAAATCAAGGAACTCTTCCGCAGCTCTACTTTCATACCGTTCTTGATGATATGGATTACCCATGGAATCGGAGGCTGGGGCATCTCCTTCGTCTTGCCAACCGTCATTTATGAACTCGGCATATCGAACACGGCCATCTCGCAAGTCATGACAATGGTATGAACGACCCTATCCACGGACATCTCAATGCTGATTCTGCCCAGCCACCATTCACCTTGGTCTTTGTCATTCTTCTATCGCTCGCCTTTCTCGTCCATACCCGGAGACTGAGCCCTTGGGTTGCTGGTCTCGGGTTAGAGGCAGCTCAAATCGTTTGCTACATCCTGCTAATCACAGTGAAACACCCCATCGCAAAGTACATCTTCGTCATGATTGCAACTGCCGCATCGCAAAGCTTCTTTGCTATCATCTGGCCAGGTAAAGACCGACACCGGATGTCAAGTTTAAAATGCTGAGATGAGACTATCCAGAGAGGATTCGAGCAGCGAAGGGAACTACGACTGCAGGTCTGGCAATTGGTCTCACCAACGTAAGCACCCAACTTTTGGAACAATCAGATACCACAACAAGCTTACCACGTCGCTTGCAGGCATCGTGTCAGCTCATGGGTATAGTCGTACGTATATCCCCTTCTATGTGTTTATCAGAGAAAATTCTAAAGTGTGTTGAAGGGCCCTCAAATCTACCAGCCCAAGTTTGGTCCGAGCTACCGCATCAGTTATTCCTGCTCCATAGGTCTTCTGTGCGGAACACTTTTGGCTGTTTCCAGTGCATGGTTCTTCGTCGCAAAAGAAGATAAGAAAGATGCTTCTGCGAACAGTGGCTCAGATGCGACTCGCGAGGAACAAACTCACAACCAAAAAGCCGTAGATTATACAGATTAGCCTAATTCCGTTAGTAAGATTCTCCGGAAAAGCAACTGAGTTCATGCCTTTGTTTATCCACCACTTCTCATACAGTGATATCACGATAGCCTCAAAGAACCCCATGCCATGATAGTTGGTCCAGAAATCAGGGGGGCCCTTGCGGTGGAGGAACCTGCCATGGGCTGTGTCGCCTATCCAGTTTCCGCAGCGAGAATCTTTACACCATGAGACATGCTCCAGCCACTCGTCCTTATGCAAACCGTACGAATATGGATCAGTCAGTGTACCAATCCAAGGCGCTGGGCCTTTGAGATAGCTTGTGCTCATGCGCATGATCGAGAGACGTCCTTTCAACCTAACCCATTTGTAGGTTGTATGGCATCCAGAACAGCAATACGTATTGGAGTGAACATTACACCTTGCGACTGAAACTGGCTCTTGGTCATTAGCCACCTTCACCTCGATACCGGTTGAAACAACCGGGTAAAATATCTTTGATACAAGACACTCGACACATATATCTTCTGTCTGTATGTCCGACAGGCGCACGGGCTTGGATTTGTGGAAGCTTTGGAGAAGTTTTCCGTCGCTATACTTGACATGGGGGCAGAGATCACCCTCGCGAGTTGCATCGGCGGAAAGATCATTGAGCTTTCCTTCCAAAACATCCCAACTTATGCTGCCATCATTCGCATCATCGACGTCTAGCACAGGTATTGAGCAGATGAGGTTGAATTCGAAACCATCTCTCCCGAACCTGGCTTTAGTCAGCCTCCCAGGCATTGCCGCACACGATGTGCAACGCATCTCTGTCTCATTCTCAGGGCTGGAGAACACTTTTCGCCAGTCCACGTCCACGTGAGGGCAGATTCTCGTACGCCCTTCGTGCAAGATGCATGACCTATTCAAGAAGTTCGCGATGCCACTGCGCCTCATTTTAGGCGAAAATTTCGTTACAGTGTGGTAATCCAAACAACCGTGGCACCACAACCGGCGGTAATACTCACGGCGTCGCCAACAATCATCTGTATTTCCAATGAACGTATTCCCAACGAGAAGATGGACGCCGATGAGCGGATGCGTAAAGCCGCCCCACGCAGTGAAGCAGAACTTGCATAAGCTATCGTACTTCAGCCGAGGGAGTAGCATTCTCTGGAAGTATCGTTTGGAACCGGCATTTTCGGGGAACCGAAATCCAACATATGTTTTTTCGGGACTCTCTTGCTTGTAACCGAGAGCAAGACTTGCGTAGTCCAAGCGCTCGTGGTATCTGGAGAACTTGCTGTCGTAGAAAATTCTGTAAAAGGCCGATGCGGTGTGGCGTAGGCAGTACAGATCGATGGGTCGGAGCAAACCCATAATCTGGAGAAGCAGCTCGTCAGGCAGACGGCAGATGGGAGAGTCTTGGTGGGTATTCCATGGAAGGGCGCGTTCTTCTACTGGTTCAGGATGTGTGTCAGCCTTAAAACTATTCTTCTCTGGCAATTTGAGGTCTGGGGGGTAGATGGCCAACCTCCTGTCTGGGGCCGAAGCCGTAACAAGGCTAGTGTGAGGGCTATTGCGCGGTACATTGCTGTTCCATAAATCCTTCGTGCGTAGCCAGTCGACTAGATCGACGAAATGATTATCGCGACGGGAGAAATGGGATGGCCACAGAGTCAAGGGAGGCTTACTTGGCGAAGAAAAGGGTTTTCTTTCTGAAATCGTGCGCACCTGTAGTTCCAAAAGGTATCGTGAGACCTCTTATTGGCCATCCATGAACGTCACCAGGCACAAATACACAACGCACCTTGGAATCTCTTGTGGATACCTGAATGTTGATGAGAAAGATCTACTGTCTACATTAGTCTAGAATTCTTCCACAACTGTGCACTCATTGTAGATTTTAGCACGGGCTTTCGAAGGTTGTTGTGCTTGGCATGAGATTTTGTCGAATGACTTGAAGATTGAGAATCTTCATGGAAGTTCTCCCGTCGATTCGGACATGGTGCATCTTGTTGGGCATCAAGGTCGGGCTGTGATTGCTCCCAATGAGTATGATAGCCACACAAGGTGCTTTGCAAATCTGGCGGCTGAGTCTGAAGGACACCGCAGGGTTTTGAACATAAGCCTGCCGACCTAGCGGTTTGAACCTCACCAGTTGTCGCAATCGGCTTTTGATCCATTGCTTACGACTGTCTGTGTCTTAGTATTGCACTATTCTCCCTTTGAGTTCGGGGCATGCAGAGACTGAATTTGGCATGTGAGTAAATGAAATGCTCCTGCAGAGAGACACCGAACATGTCTATCATGGTCCATTCGAGACCCTGTTGCCGGCCCGACGTTGGAACATTGCCATCGGAAGAAGCTCTACCCCGTCCCAAATCAGGCGTTGACTCAATCACCCGAGAGACGAGGCCTTTTTCGGAGTCATTTTGATCTGCGCAACACCGAATTCGGGCAGAGAAGCCTTCATTCAAAGTCATAACAGTAAATGCTCAGACATGGTAGCACAATCGTTGTTCAATCTCAGGTGATACAAGACCCGAATATGATGAACCCAACACATCCCCATGCCGTGAAGCCTGCCAAGCCATCTTGGCATAGTTGATCCGTGGGGTTCACGCTCATCTGAGCTTCAGCCGTCCCAGCATGGGCATAGTGCCATCGGGTATAAGAAGGGGAGAGGGTTGGAATAGGATAATGCCTGAATCACGCTACATTTGATGGGGAAGTATTTCTCGACAAAACTGAGACGTCTCTGCGCCACGGTCACTCCGTATCTCGATCCAGCGACCCGACCCTCCGGTGCGGCCCGTTTTCGACCCTCGGCCGGACATCAGGTGCTCGGCCGGATAGGCTTGTATGCACGAGCGAGGTACCTGCGGGGTTCCTGCGAGGTCCGCGTGGTTGGGCTGGCCAAAACGGGCCGAGGATCTCATCTGAAGCCACCAGAACAGGGGAAGATCTGCTGTATCCGTTCTTGTAATGGTACGGTCCCGAAAATTGTACGGAGATTTGCTGCTGAGACAAATCTGCATCTCTAGGAGCTTGGCGAAGAATCACATGACACTTGCTTCTTCACTCTGATCTTGGTTTCCTATCGAGACGCACTCAGTTGCCGTTCGATACGGCCCGCGGCGTGATTACCATCTTGGTAAATATTCGGAAAGAAGAACTCAAGGAATGTTTTTGCTTGCCGGCGCATGTTTTCTTTCTCTTCTCATAGCATAACCGGTGTATAATGCCCAAATGATTCCATGTTCACCGTCGCACTTCGTTGTGACCAACAAAAGTACTGGCTCGAAAAAGCTACGACAATCTGTGTTGTGGATCTCTTTTCACTCACTTTGAGAATAGTATGTGAGATGAAAACGATGAAAGATCTTCGAGATACCCTACCTGCCTACGAAGGGATCGCCATTCCCCTCGCAAGTTTGTCGCCAACGTTGAAGCAGCATGTGGACCCCATGAAAGACATTGTCTCGAGTTCTTGGGAGGGGATCTGAGACCCATCACAGGCAAAGCTCAATGACCCCTGGAATCCCCAGAGCCTTATGAGCCAGCTGCTTTGGGAAATCCGCGCATGTGTCTCAGACCCTGATTTTGAGCCAGTATACTTTTGGTTTGGCTTCATCCACGTCGGGACGCCCGAGTCAGACATGGGATTCCGCACTGTCCGATGCTGTCAACATCGGATTTCATGTGCCCGTCTGGGATACATGATTCGAACATTCAACTCTTGAGACAGCGCGCTTGCTAGAATTCATAGTGATGGTAATCTGTTTTCGAATCATTTTTCGTGTCCCTAGTGCTCAATACTGATGATCTTGCTGAGATCCCTTCTTATTGTAACCACATTTGGTTACTCGGGGTGTTTATCGTTCCGTCGTCTGCGACCATGGTGTTCGAATAACACTCTGTTCCTAAGACAGTATCGTTACCGTCGCCATACGATCTTGTCCCCATGGATGTAAATCACCTTGATTTTGCGCTTTGCATATCGATACCAACAGTGAGCTGTAGATGCTGAAGAATTGGTGGCAGTGTGGCGGCATAAAGTGTCGAGACATGGCTTGAGTATCACAGCTGAGGTTTCAGTGCCGCAGCTAATATGATTGCGGTTGATAATAACAAACGGACAACTTAGTATTGTAAGTTATATATATGAGAGTGCTGAAGAATCTGGACTTTGAACTGTGTCCCAACTTCGATATCGACAACAGCCTCGTTGCGTATTGTCCAGTCTTCTTCTATGCGGCCCCCGGAGACTATCGACCGGTTCACACACCTGACCTCACCAGACATCATGTACTCCCCACCTTACTCGATCGGCGGGCACCGCAGTATATCCCATGAGAACCGTTCTGTTTCCCGCGAGAATCGTTCCGTCGCTCGCCAGATCACCCGCGAACTCTCACAAGACGGTAACCACAGAACTCCTCGCAACATGTCCCACGGCACCTCCCACAGAAGCTCCTCGCAGTCTTACGGCAACTCCAAAGATGCTTCGCGCAGCGACCCCCGCAGGCGATCCCACAGTATCTCCCACCAGGTCTCCCGCACAATATCTCACGATCCTACCTGCGACATCTGCAACGATGCCACGTCTTGCGATAAGTGCAGACAAGGTTCCGTTGGCACTTCTCACAGCTCCTCCTCCGACATATCCCGAACTTTCTCCCACACCATGCCGCAGAGCACCTCCTACACCACCTATAGCGGCGGTGACTCGCGCATCGGCTCGGGGGACTTTTCCAAGAGCTTCTCTCAGAGCCTTCTCTACGGCGGCTCCTCGCACAAGGACCATGGGGGTTCCTCCAACGATAACTCGAACGCGATGACTGAGAGCTATTCACGCGACTTCCCACAGAGCACCTCTTACGCCACTCGCAGCGGTGACTCCCATCACGACTCAACCGACTTCTCTCAGGGCGGACGTCATAGCTTCCTTCAGAGCTTCCACAGATCATCTTATGACGGCCACGGAGATGTTCCCAAGGCATTGAATTATGCTCCCAAGAACTCATCGCACATGGTTTCGGAGAGCTTTTCGCCCGATCTACCTCAGAGTCCCTCCTGGGAGATTCGGACCGACGTCAATCGTCATGGCTCTGGCAACAACGACACTTCTCATGAAGCCTGCTGTGATATTTGCAGCGGAGGTTCCAGCAGTTCCTCTAATGAGGCATCGAACCAAGTCTCTCACGTCTCCCGCAATGGCGGCGGGGGTGGCGAGGGCGGCGGGGGCGGCTTCTACGAGGACTGGAGTAGTCACTCTCATCGCCCGCAAAGCCCAACTCACGACAGGGCTCACAACATCTCTGGGATCATCGTCGGGGATAGATCAAACAAGGTGACCGGAGACGCACCCAAGCACAAGACCAGGGATATCGACGGACCCATGGGCAACACATCCGGCAGAGTTTCCACCACAACGCACACTACCTCCAACAACGTGCCGCCCAATGTTTCTGGCAATACCTCTACCCATGATCACACTACTAGACATGATGGTCCCCATGGAGCTTCAAGAGAAGTCACCAACAACAACTCCCGCGAGCAGACCACTGGAAGCCATGTTGTCAACCACACTCACGAGCATAGGCCCGCTCCAAAGGGGTTCCTCCAAGGCATTACCGAGGATAGCGAAAGTATCAGAAGTCACAGTAATGGGTCTCACACCCATCACCATTCTAAGCATGACCATAGAGGTGGCGGTCACACCGTTGTCTCTCGGAACCACGGCTCTGAGCGCGACGACACAGTCAGGAGTCACAACAGCGTCCCGAGCAGCAACTCCCACGAGCATGGTCATGGTCACAACCATGGCAGCCACACCATCACCAATAACAGTTCTGGGCATAATGATACAACCAAGACTCACAACGACATTCCCGGAAACAACCTTAGCTCTGGACATCGGCATAACCACGGCGGCCACACTATCATCAACAACAGCTCGTCGCATAATGACACGACTAGGAGCTACAATAACGTCCCTAACAACAACTCCGGCTCTGATGGGCATAACCATAGCTACAATAACACTACTACCAGCTCGGGGGGTAAGGACACAACCAAGACCCATCACAATGTTCCGGGCAACAACCCAAGCCCTGAACATGGTCACGGTGGCCACACAGTCATCACCAACAGCTCTGGGGGTAAGGATAGACCGAGAAGTTATCAAATTGCCCCGGGAACCACCTCCAGCTCAGATCATGAGCACAACCGCGGCGGCACCACCACCATTGCCACCAGCTCTGGGCATCCCAAAAATACAGGAAGCCACACGGGCATCACCGGAGATACCCCCCACTCCGGGAAGCATCATCATACCCCAAGCACAGGTCTCAATGGCCATCCTACTGTCCCTCACACGTCTGAGCCTACTATCCCTCAAAAACCATCTTCCCAAGGGCCTCCTCAGTTGGCACTGTCTCGAGAAGTCCCTCAACCGGCAACTTCTCGCCCTTCAACGTCTAAAGGAGTACCTTCTCTACCACCAATTTCTCAGTTGACAGCATCTCGACAAGTACCTCCTCAACCATCGACTTCATACCCTTCCACTTCTCAAGGAATACCTTCTCAACCGTTGGATTCTCAACCTCCAACTTTCCAAGTACCATCGTCTCAGGCGCCCCCTCAGGCAGTCACCATGCAAAGATCAACAGGACCTCCACCTCAAGGACCGCCCCAAGAGCCTCCTACACAGCCTCCAGCTTCTCGAGGGCAGCCCCAAGGGCCTCCACCCCAAGGAACCTCCTCCCACTACGTCCCTGAGAAGGATCACTTCAACAGCCCAACATTCAGCGAGCCCAGCCATAACCACGGGGAGTCAGACGAGCATCGACGAGTCGGGAAGTCCATCACCCGTCATGGCTGGCGACGCTTCCTCCACGGATGGATGATACACATCCCAGCTATTATCTTGACCGCCATAATCCTATGGCTAGCCTCAAGAGAACGCTACTGGTATGGGTTGGCCGGTCCCACCAGGGTCCGCCTGAGCCCCAAAGGCGTCGAGGTTTTTCTTTTGTTTGCCTTCAAAATCTATGAGATCTTCGTCATTCTCTCGCTTTCGGCTATGGCCATCAGCATGTTCCGCCGACGACTGATTGGCGGCGGCGTGCGTCTAGGTTTTCTCACCGGGGCCTACCGCGTCGGTGACTTTCGCTACATCTTCTCATTACCGTTCTGGCGCCACGGCTTCCTCAGCCTCTCCTTTTGGGAGATGATGCTTGCCCTCTTCGTCCTCTTCGCAACCATTTTCAGCCTCCTCTTATTGCCCGCCGCAGGGGCCTTGCTTCTCCCGTCACTCCAGTGGTATGGGATGAACCACAACAAGGCTTTCGGAGGCGTCAGCGCACCGCTCCTGTACCAGACTCAGCCCGACCAGGTATGGCCGACGCTCTTCACCGACGGGGCGCCATGGAACAACACGCCGGTCTGCGTCGAGGCTGAGGGTATCTACAACGCCGCCTGTCCCGCCGGCGGATTCACCACGGTCTGGAACTGGGCCAAGGGCTACTCCACGACCGGCCTGCAGAACACCGTTACCTTCTCCAGTCCCTCGACGAATCTCAGCCGTCAGTTGATGATCACCGAGTTGACCGCCGATCCTGACACGCGGGATCCGCCCGTCTTGTCGACTACCCCGTCCCACCACTTCAACATCAACTTCGGCCTGGTCAAGAACTACATCGAGAATGGAAACACAATCACTGAAGATGACTCTCAATATCGCCTCAACACCCGACGAGTCAACGCCCAGAACCCGGATTCGAGCAGCCCCATCTACCAACCCTTCATCCAGTCGCTATGCAACGTCGTTCCCAAGTCAGACGTCATCGCCAACAACGGCTCGCTGGTGTACCCACTATCATCCCTCAACTGCTTCGGCGACGCCACCTGTCTGCAGATGAAGCGAGCATCCCCGGCCCGCTCCCTCGACGTGTCCGCATGGGACTCGGAAGAATGCCACCTCCAGCTCATCACCACCGACTTCTTTGTCTTCCAGAACGGCACGCCCATCATTGAGGTCGCGGGCCAGCTCCCCGATGTCAACGGCGATTACAGAAAAGACCGGCTCTTCGCGTGCACCATGCTAGCAACCTGGGTTGCCGCCGAGGTCTCGACCGACTCGAGCGAGTGCGGCGCGCTGGTGTCTGACCTGAACGACCCCGAGACCATGATCGAGACCTACCAAAAAACGTCTTTCAGCGGAAACTCGGAGGAGTACGTGATGAAGTTTGACCCGAGCTGGTTTCAGTACCTCTCCCCAGTCTCCTTCGCATCATCCGTCGCGTTCAACGGCTCCGATGCGCTGCGGTACTACAACCCGCCAGAGAGTCTCGTGCGAAACTTCGTAGATGCAGAGGTCGCGCAGAACATCACGAACCCCAGGATCACCAACAGCACCATCGACTCCGCGCGCGCCGAGGTGTTCCTCGCCAAGGTGTTCGGCGTGTACCTCACCGATGCCATCGCACGTACCGGCTCGAGCAGCACGGCACTGATACGCTCGGAGTCGGGCCAGTCGGCGAACCAACTCCCGGTGGTCAACTCCAACGTCCAGTCAAACGTCCATTTCAGCATCAAAGGAGGCACCCCCGCCAACGAGACCACCGGGCCGACGGTCGTGAAACACATCACCGCCCGCGCCGCGCAAGACGACCTCCTCTCCGAATCGATGGGCTTCGACTTTGGCGTCGAGAGGTACGGCTGGGGCACCGGCAAGCCGTCGAGGGCGCTGGAGTTCGGCAAAGCTATCTTATACATGTACTTTGCCGTCCTCATTCTGTACCTACTGACGGTCGTTGGTGGTCTTCTCTTGGAGCTGTGTGGCCTGTACCCGAACATGCGCGTGCTGAGCATCGTTCCCTGGTGGGATCTGCAAGGCTTGCTTGTCCTCGCGATGAGGACGCCGCCGCCGGGAGATGGATAATTTGCGGATGCCGGAGCGGGAGTTACCTCGTCTCACGTGTGGAAGAAGAGGGTGCGGGCGATGGCGGACCTTGAACAGAACGTCCAGTTGGTGTACAACGACGATACGGTCAGGGATGAGTTGGACAAAACTGGGAAAGTAAAATACTTTTGACATCGCTACATTCCATTTTGTATTCTGCTTTTAGTTGCGTTCATTTTAATATCTTCACCACAAAGGCTTCTGACCTTTCAATACTACATTTCATTTCTCTTGCTTCTGATGAAACACTTAGAAGTGCTCTTCAGCAGATCAGCAATGCAATCAAAGAATCTTCTTCCCAACTGGTCCATATGAAGACTCTACGAACCGATGTATTTCGAAAGGTCGCTGAAACGAGGACTCTTCCTCGCGTCCATCTTACCCGCCTACTTTAGCTAGAGACCACAAGGATGAGTGGGTGCTGGACATTCTTTAACACATCACCCGACCCAACCAACCCAACCAACCCGCAGTAACGGGCAGGCATCTAGTTCCCCATGGCTTGAAGTTGTCATCTCCTTCTCTCCAGCTTGCTTCATGAAACCTGGACACGATCTACCGAGCCCGAGCGAGCTTCAGGTCAAAGACTCGGCATGGAGGTGAAGCCAAGTGAAAGACCATCCGCGCCGGCCATGAAGCCCACGCTCCCACACATCCTCCATTTGCAGAATCTTTCACTTGCGAGTCGACAAAACAAATCTCCCTCAAACGCTTTGCAAAATAAACAAACCCGGAAAGCTCTCGCTCTTTCCAAAACAAACCCCATTCACATCTTACTTCCCCCGAAAACACCAGCCCTTCCTTTCACATTCCACCTCCATCACCACAACCAACAACACCAAAACACCGCCATCATCACCCCAAGATGGCGCCCATCCTTGACAGCTCTGTCGCGGAGTTGTACCGGGACTACAAGTCCTCCACGAACTTCGCCATACAATGGCTCTATTGCCAGGTCAAGGCCGAGGATCCGTCCATCGAGAAGTTCACCTCAATCAACCAGATCCTAGCCGCGGCCAAGGTTGTCAAGAAGGCACAATCTGTTGTGCCCAAGTCCGTCCTTGCTTCCCTCCGTACCGCGATTGCGAAGAGAAAGCAGGTGTACGACATATACGAGAAGAACGGTGCCGGTTGTTACGGCCACGCGGCGTTCGCCCAGAGGTGAGGTTCATCTGGCTTCCATCTTCAGGCACGAGGCTGACAATGTAACAGACTTGAGAAAACCCTCTCCATTCTTTCTTCCCTGACGACCGCTTCCGCGACTTCCTCCTCCTCCCATATCGACGAGTCACAGAAGAGCGCCACTGCCCCCAACGCCTTCGCGCCCCTGGCCGCCACTGTGGAAGATGTCGACGACGACGACGATGAGATCAACGTCGTAGACCCTACCTGCGCCTCAGACTCGCATGGCGAAGCTCCTTCATCGGCCCACACGGCTCCCGATCCCGATGAGGGCGATTTCATCCTCGAGGACGATGCCATCCGCCAGTTCCACGAATCCATCAACTTCCTGCTCGTACGAAACCTGTTCTCTCCCCTTCGTCACCATTCCAACTAACCTTGCTCCTAGGAACTCTCCAAGGTCTACTCGCAGCTCGAAGGCTACTGGCGCGACGCCGCCGCCGGCACACTGCCCCTCCCTTTGGCCGCATGGCTCACGTCCCTCACCGCGCACACCATCGCAAAGGACGCCCCGCGCAGCTTTTTCAACCTTTGCGAGAGCGTGTCGTCCCCATGCAACACGTGCCCTGACTGCCCAGGCGTGAGAGCTTTCGTCGCGAAGATGTCACCTTCCCCAGCCGCCGCCGCCGAGAACATCGCCCGCGGCACACGCATCTACACCATCGCCAAGGCCATCAACGCCTATGGTGCCGAGCTTCCTGACATGAGTGCCCCCTCTCTGATTTATGTGTGCCCCGACAAGTGCGCGTGCCGTGTCAGAACCGACGGCGGCGCGGCGGAGCCCCATGACCAGGACCACGGCCCTCGACTGCCGGAGACGGACGAGGCCCACCTCCGAGAGATCCTCGGGCTGATCAGGGCCGATGTGTTGGGCACGCGCGGCATCACCCCGCTCGAGAGGATCAAGAAGTACGCGGTCGAAGACGACAGGGTCTACCAAAGCGATCCCCTTCTCTATTTCGCGCAGGCCCTCTTCTATAGCGAGGAGCACGTCACTTCAGGACGGCTGATCTTTGCCACGGACTTCTTCTTGCTGGCCGCCGAATCCGCCTCGATGGCCGAGGGTCCTCTGAGCTACGCGAACTGCCATGCGAAGCCCCACCGCCTCGCGCTGGACATGTGCTCCGCCGTCGACCCAGTCATCGAGTTCCTCCAGAGCATGAACCTATTCGCAGATTGGGGCCAGACCGTCGGCTACCTCGAGCAGTTCCGCGACGCATTGAGCGCCTTCGCCGGCGAGTGCGCCCTCAACAAGTACCACGGGTCTCCGTGGACGGCCGGCAACCAGCTCACAGAGCTCTTGATGCAAGCCTCCCTCGTAGGCGCCAACGTTTCCTGGGACTGGGCCATTATCAACTCCACTCTCCATTTGTACAATGCGATGCGTCAAGTCGGGATCCTGCGCGTGAAGAAGATCCCCCTGCTGGACGAACTCGCCGAGGTCTTGATCCAAGACACCTTTCGCGGCGCGCTTCCCGATAGAAACTTCGCCTCCACTTTCAGCCGCATCGTCTTCAACAGTGGGATCGACAAGACGCGAGGGCGTGTGCAGTACGGCTTCGGATCGAAGCCCCTTCGAGGTCAGCACATCATGTGGTTCCTCCACCAACACCGCGAGGCCCATTTCGAGGGCCTTGATTGGCTCGGTGAGGTGTACGGGGTTGCGACGTGCATGAAGCAGAGGTGCTCCAGGTGTAGGAAGGACCCCAAGAAGGACAGAGGAATTCGCGAGGCGCATCTCGCGGGAACGTTGCCGGGATACATGGAGAAGGCCAAGACCAAGGTGCTTCCAGAACTGGAGGGAGATGCGCCGATTGCCAGACTTAACTTCTTTGGACTATTTATGTTCTGCGCCCGGTTCATGAGAAGGTTCGGAGAGCTCAGTGAGGCCGAGCTCGGTAAGCCCTTCAAGGCAGCGGACTCGCCGAGGGAGCTGTGGGCGCATCCGTTGCATCTGGCTCGGTTCGCCACCGAGCTCGTTCTCGATTCCATCGACGAGGGCTTCGGCAGCAGAGAAAGCAGACGTCTGCTGAAGAAGAAGAAGCTGGTTGAGAACGCTGGTCAGGCGTTCAAGGAGCTAGACGCGGAGGCATCACTGAGCCAGTTCACCTGGGCGATCTGAAGTCGTGGAGAGATGTTAGAGTTTTGCGTAGATAATTCAGGGTACAGATAGAATGCAGATGCTGCATATCACAAAGTCACGTTCGATTGCTATAAATGTGGTGAATGTTTGACGTTATATTTCGGGTATCTCATTAAAAAAAAAAAGCGTGTGTGCACACATGCTCTGTGGGAGCTTGTAGCCAATTTGGCGTGACGCCTTGCGTATAGCCAGCGGCGATGTGCGTCCTCGCAACTCGTAGCCTGCATCTGTACCGTATTGGTATTGGATACGATAACATCTTTGGGGAAGAGTCCAGCTTGTCCGTTCGGGTGCTTCATTCCGAACAGCCCAACAGATGAGGAGCTTATGTTCAGTTGGCAATGTCGAGTCCGGCTCGTGTCACATGCTAGACACCTCGACACATGGAGGTCTGGCCCAGGTCTTGCGGGACTCCAAGCACGTTATCATGCGCAATCGTAAAGGAATGCCTTCAGACTGGGTACGCCCGGAGTGCATGTCTAGGACGTTCCTGCCACACCTCCTCTGCAAATTTAGACTGCAGGATACGAAGGACTGACTCAGCTTCATCCGCCCGGCCTAATCGCGTAAGGTGGCTGACAGCGTCCATGCCCATGCAGATAACCCTCGATCCGAGGTTGTTCGCCGCATAAAGCTGAGCCAGTTTGTCATTTGCCTGCAAGCCCTCAAGAAAGCCAACAGCTCGTTGGTGGCTGGGGTTTACTGGGTGGTGGAGGTCAAGATGTGCGCGGTCAATCTTCAGCGGTCTGTGGATGTGGTTGGCAGTGCCGACGAAAGACTCGAACAAGGCGGCAGACGGCAATGGCCTCTTCCAGGCCTCAACAGTCGACCGCCAGGAAAGAACGTGCCATGGCGCAAGAAGGATGTTGCGTCTCTGAGCGTCCGTCTTCCATGTCTGGTCGGCTCTGAGCATGGCGGAGTAGGCTGTGTCGAGACTCTCGTCGTACATGTTGGACTTGGCCTTAACCAGGTTGGCCACCAACGAACCGACGATGACGCTGTTCGGGTCTTCTGGGCCTTCACCCCGCACCATCCGCTCTGCCCACGTCCACTGCACTTCTTCCAATCCCTCGGCGACCAGGAATTGCGACAGTTCAAAGACAAAAGGCTTGTCTGCCAGGAACTCCAACGTCCGCTCCTGGCCAGACGATCTCAGCCATTGGAGCACCTGTGACCCTGCCATCGAGTCTGCCATGGCGTCGTGGAGTGAGATGACACTGGATTCCAGGATCTGTTTGCGCGTCGCTCGCAAACAGCCAGTCGCGGCCTTCCTCGTCATCATGCCCCTCGCCGCAGCCTCTTCGAATACGTCCATGGGATCTCTCGGCGATGTCAGCGGCAACTTGGCGGGCTTCTCGCTGTTCTTGAAGAGGGGGTTGGAAAGGATCGTTCGAAGATGTCGGTCTGTCGGGCGGTGGTGAGCGTTGTGTGGTGTAGGCTTGTTGGCTGTTGTCTGCGAAGCCGGTGACTCGGCAGTCTCGGGAGTCCAGCCATGCTCCTTGTCGAGGTTCTGACGGAATGATGTCTTTAGAACATTGAGTAACTTTTGCGACTCCCGCGAGGAAAGAGGCAGAGGCTGATGAATCGACGAAATGGCCTTCTTGAAGGAGCTCAGAGGCTTTGTGGTAAACATGGTGGGGTGTTTCGATTTGGG